GCACTACTGCACTGTGGTACCTCGGCAACAATGCACATTTAATGCAACGTTCAGTAGTGGAGACGTATGAATTGGTAGAAGGTAATGTTTGCTTTGTAGATTTGCAGCCTTTTGCTTTCATGGTAAACAAAGGGGGCACCAAAACGACATCAGGTTTCTTATATGGCATTAATGGAGAAGTCAACTGCATGTTGGAAAATATCCGCCCCCACTATACACCCTTCACTTTTCATATCTTCCGTTCTGAAAAACTTCCAAACCTCTTTTACATGTTTGATTGAATCAACATATAATCCAGATAGTGCCCTGACTATTTTATGAAAGCACCAGTCTGTGAAGGTTTAATCTGGGTATACACATATCTATATTTTTTTTTTTTCGTTCAAACTGCGGGCTGAATTAAAAAAAAATAGAACAGACTCTTCCATCAACATTTACGAGCGTTGATAGACAAATCCCCCTCTGTGTACATTGTATTCTGACAGCAGCCGGGGGCTGTTGTCAGAATACCTAAATGGAGCTAGCAGCTGATTGGCTGCTAGCTCTGTCTGGCCAAGAATTTTCCAACTGGTTCCTGCGTTCAGTGGCATGGTGTGAATTTCAGCCAGTTCATCTGGAACCGACTGAAATTCCACACGTGTATGGGGTATACACGTGTGGAATTTCAGCTGGCTTTAGCCTGGCAAAATGTTTTACCTTGCTAGCCTGCTCTCTCGGCATGATTGCCCGAATTCATTGTAGAGTTGATGATGGCTGATTGTCTTGTAATTATGTGCCTTGTAGTAAGAAGGTTGATATGTTGTGTTTTTTTTTTTTGGTTTGGTGCCCATGTGTGTGACTTATTACATGTGAATAGCCGAGCTGATCATTTTGAGCTGTACCATGTTGTCTAGTACTTTTACACATTTACACATTTCAAGTTTATTAATGTTTGTGTATTATCTACATGAAGAATTATGTCTTCTGTTGTCTTGTCCGTCGAATATCTGAGTGTCTTTCATTGTGAATGCAGTCACACTTTTATGTAGCATTTCCATATGATATTCTATCAGGACAGACCAATGAATATGCGATTTAGGAGCCAGTCTGTCCAATCTAGGAGCCTGGAATATCTTCTTTTTTTTTTGAGCCACCTCCATTGACTACTAGTGAATACCTCAGATCTTAGGCGCCAGCTGTCCTTTTAGGGAGCATTGGCTACTGGTATCTGTCTAGTCCCGTATTATATATATATTGTTTTGAACAATGGAAACGGCCTCAACTGACCAATCACAAAAGTACTTCTAGTCTTCTAATACATCTTAATGGATAAGACAAGAATATTACAGTAGGTGGGAGAATTGTGCATGAACCTCGGGTTCCAGAATTTGTTGAAGAGAGTTGGAACTCCCAAGTTAGTGAAGGGGATTTATCAAATCTGGAGCAGCTGTTCATGGCAACCAATCAGCTTCTCTCTTTCATTTTCAAATCTTAACGGAAGAGAGAAGCTTATTGGTTGCCATGCACAGCTGCTCCAGTTTTGATAAATTCCCCCCAATGAGGGGAATTTATCAAAACGGTGCTGCAGAATCTGGAGCAGTTGCCCATGGCAACCAATCAGCTTCTCTCTTCAGTTTGCTCAGGTAAGATTTGAACATGAGACAGAGAAGCTGTTTAGTTGCTGTGCAAATCTGCTCCAGATTTTGTCTGCTCCAGTTTTGATAAATTCCCCTCATCGTATTGTAATTTTATTCCAAAAGAAGGGAATCTCAGGCAGTGGTAGCAACTGATTATACTATTCTGCAAAAGGAGCCTAGCCTTCCATTCTCCATCAGGAGGAAGATCTTCCTGGACCTAGTTTTGATGCAGGATCTTCTAAACGTAGTAGCTTGGTCCAGGTTTGTTTTGGACGCCACTCAAAAGTGCCTACCTGGTATTAAAAGGCTAGTATCTGCATGGCTTGTGACTGTGTCTGTCTTGCAGTCCTGAAGAAGCCTGGAGGTGCGGTGTGCCACGCCAGTGTTTGTTTTGGTGACAAATATGGAACATCACATCATTTTTATTTTACGGAACTAAGCAATCTATCACATAGGTTATTTAGAAGCGTGACTCTTCATAGTCTACTCTAATGATTGGTGATTATACTCCTTCATCTCATTCTTTTATTATGTCCAGCCCTAACATGAATGATTATAGGAAATAGATTGTGAGTTCTCCCTCCCGCGCAGCTTCTAAAAACTGCCCCTGCTGCACACTTATTTCCTTCATTAAAGGCTTTTTGCCATTGCCCAATAATTGCATCTCTTTCAAGTCAATTGTGTCTTATTCATATTAGGGTTATCTTTTATTTGAAAGAAGAGTTTAATATTGGAGGACATTCTTCTAGCGGTGTACATTTCTAGTAGAATTCCAGTATGATCCTCTATTAAAGCCCAATAGAACCTTCAGTTTAAATTGGCTATTTGCATTCCAGCTGCATCAAAACAACAGCTGTGAAAAGTTTTAAGCTGGATATACACTGTGTGAATTTTATCTGGTTCATGAGCCGTTCCATCCAGCTTCCTTCAATCAGAAAATCTTATCAGAAAATGTTCAGGCAAACAGTGACAACAGCCAGTTCACCGCAGTCACTGTTCAGGTACTCTCACAGTGGCACACCCGCCTCTGTCATAATATAATACCCAGCGGGAGATTTGTCCATCCATGCTGTTTAATGTGGAGGGAAGAATCTTTTTTTTTTCTGTTCAGCACACAGGTTGAATGAAAAAAATAAATAAGCGTATGACTAGTTTTAATTTTGTTTAGATAATCATCCGCAGCCTGAGCAGAAAAGCCTGCCCTCTGCCAGGGTACATTAAGGGTGAATACTAGGGATGCACCGATATATCGGCCGCCGAAACATATGGGCTAAAAATGGCTGAAAGTGCAATTTTTCTGCCGATATAGCGGCGCATCCGTGCTTTCTCTCTGCTCTGTGTCCCAGCGGGAAGGAGAGAAACTGTCACATGCTGCCGAGCGCTGCAGGAGGAGAGCGCTGTGAGCGGCCGGCGTCTCTCCTCCTCGCGGTCACAGATCAGAGGAGAGTGGTGTGTGGGCGGAGACAGTCAGCGCTGTCACAGGAGGCTGGCCAGCGGTGCGGTGGAGGAGTCAGCTGTCAGATCGAGCTCTTCTCCCGGCACTGCACGCTCAGCCTCCTGTGACAGCCGATCCAGGATGGAGAGCGAGTTACAAGCAGTCAGTAATCGGTGATCGCTGTTTGTAAATAATTGAGGACAGAATATGTTTACTGTGTCCCCAATTATGAATGAATGGGAGTACTTTACATCACTTCCTGTTCATTCATGATTTTGGTTATAGTAAACACACTCTGTCCTCATGTTATGAATGAACAGGAACACTCAGTATAGAGGATTCCTGTTAATTTATAACTGGAGATGCAGAATAAGAGATTGAGGACTCCTGTGTCCTCAATCTCTTTTTCTATTTTAAAAGGGAAATATCAGGTTTGGACCCCTAATATCTCCCCGAAGCCCCTAAAAGTAAAGTAGAATAAAAAATATTTAATAAAAATAAAATCTAAAAAAATTGAACGTTTATAAAAAAATAACAATAAAATAATTTGAAAAAGTTTTGAAAAAAAACTTTTTCGGTTTTGGCCCGACATATTTTTTAAAAATTTTGGTTTTAAAACTTTCATTTCGGTGCACCTCTAGTGAATACCTGATGGATGTGAGACCTTCACTTGATTTGTTAGGAAAAGGTGGCTGCTGAGTGGCCAGTAAAAGCTCCGGCCTGTTTTATTTTTGGGAATATCACACCAGGAATGATTTGCATAGGAAACCTTCCAATGGAGACACCTGTTCCTTTGACTACTGTAAGATGGTATTTTTCCCTCCTTTCCAGGCTATGAGGGGTGGTATTTCATCTCACTACCTGCTGTCATGTTTCCAGGTCAGGAAGTGAGGGAAATTATTTCCAATACGGACCGATATTGCAATACAACCGGGCAGTTTTAACCCTTCCTATTCTACTGCAAACTAGAAGAAAAAGGTTTGACCAGAATTTGACTTTAGGTTGACATATTTCAATCTAGAGATAAATAAAACTAAGAGCTTGATGCACTATAAAATATCTAATTGAAAACTCTTGGAATTAAAGCTACCTGCGGATGATAACTTGGCAGATGTTTTAATTTTTTAGGTTTAGAGTTTTAAATGTTGGCATAAAGTCTGCCCACAGACCTTCATGTTACACATTGCTGGGCACTGTTCCTCATTAAATCTAGTATCCAGGACCCTTCATTTGATCCCTGTCCCTGTCAGCTGTTGGAGAAAGCCTCCAGCTCTGTAGATCTTATGACAGCTTGGCCTGCGCTGAGCATTTGAAGGAGGGGGGGGGGGGAAGGGGGAGCTTGGTGCGAAGCTGAACACTCTCACTTTCTGTGAAGTTTGGTCACATCCCTGCACTCTTTGTTCTGTTAATTATAGATGAATGGCTGAGAAGAGTTTATGGAGGACGGGACATTTTTGCAAAGAACCAACACTTCTGCAGCCTCAGGAGACTATACAAGGTACTGTTAACACCTGTTACTGCCTGGATTTGTCTCTGACTATGCGGTTTTAGAGTTTCTACTTATAGGTGTGCAGGACACCATCCAAATCTCTCAGCCAATAAAAGTAAAAGTGGACTCTCTAAGCTTGCATTGCAGTTTTTGCTAGCAAATGGTATTGCATTGGATATTGATAGTTTGGGATTGTTGTAAATTATACTCGTGAGCAGCAAAAAGACCATATTCCAGAGAACAGTTGTATAAACCTGGTATCAGACCAAGCTCTCTTCTGTAGTACATCATGTAGCTATCCCGCGGACTCCTGTTAATTCATTTACAGCTGCAGAAGGCTAGCACAACTCATTTTTAAGTGGCTGCATGTATGTGGAATGCCGTATTAAGAGGGGGTGTTGGAGTAATATTACTTCTCATTTTGCAGAGATCAGCAAAGCATGGAAGGTGATCTCTAACGCCAAAGCTGCTGTGAGTATTGCCTGAGCAATCCGTAAGAGAGCGCCTGCTTCTTTTAACTATATAAAACATACAAAGATAACAGTATGAAAGTTTATTAAAATATAGACAATCACAGATAATAGTTTTGTCTGTAGGTACATAAAGTTTTCTCTGACCAAGGTCCCACATAGATGTCTGCAGTGAAAAAAAAAATATTTTCCCATGAGTCTTTGTGTTTTTTGGTTTTACTCTTCAAAGTGCAATTTATACTTCTAATCCACACTGTTCCTTCATCTGTCATGATATTGGTAACTTGATTGCCTGGCTGCTTGTCAAAAAGGCCTATACAGTCCTCTGCAATCTTTTTTTTATCCTTATGGACTTCCGAGTATGAGAAATAAATGTGATTGCAGAGTGCATGTGTGGGCCTGGCCAATAACATTTTGGATCAGTGCTTAAGTCAAACATATCTAGCTGGATCAGGGACAAATGAGTGACAGAGAGGGGTGCTCAGATATTAATCTAACTGCACCAGAGATGCTATTCATTGCCGTTTTAGAAGATGAGGATTCCATTTACTATAGAAGGTTGTTGCTCACCAACAGATTTCACCCTGAAAGCAAGGTTTATGTATTCGTTCACAAGGATTACACTATCTTTTAACATAGACATTGGGGACATTTTATAAATCTGATTAACCCCCTTCCTAGTTCACTAGTAGTTTTTTATTATTTTTAAATTTTTTTTTCCCCCATGTAAGATAGGTGTAGCAGGGTCTGTCGTCAAATGAGTGCCAAGTTAGCAAAATAGATATAGGGGGAAATAGATGATTGGTAAATCAATAAGTACAATATGTAGGCATGTAATTGTGCTGTATGATTAAATGCATATAGAAGGTCTTACTAGTATGATGGTTCCAGATTTTGTTGACCTTGTTTTGTGATTTTACCTTATGTGTGATTGATACTGTTTTAAGTGTTCAATTGATATTTGAAACTCAATAAATATATATTAAATTAACTATAGAAGGTTGTGCAGCTGCACATGAAGGATAGGATGAGTAAAAAGTATTGACTTTTACAATAATCTATTCACATTGCAGTAAATGATTCCACTCTGCAAAATGTGTTTTCCCCAGTCATCTTCCAGGACAGCCATCGAGATATAGGCTCCGCCTGCCTGCAACAGGAAACACATCAACCACATTAAATAAATAGACTCCTCCTTCCATCCCAAGTCAGTTTTTTTGTGTTTCCGCCGGCTACACAGGGACATCGAGTTAGCTAAGGCACATTGAAAACAAGCTGGATGTGGCCCCCACAAGCAGCGTCATTTTTGATCCCATCATGGATGCCAGGAAGCCAGTTGGTGCTACTCGGAAAATAAGTAGGAAGGGTATGTTTTTCCACCATTTATCAATGGACTTTGTTTTTAAACTTCCTCCTGTGTTTTTACGCTGTCTTCTTATTAAAATGTAGTGCCGCTGGTAGGGCATGCAGTAATTGTTTTGTAGAACAAAGTCTTGCCACTTTAAGTGCTGGCACTTCCCATGGATATTGGCATGCATCCACAATCATTTGGCTATGTCAAAGTGGCTTAATTTGCCAAACAGGAAATCTGCTGAACTTCTGCACATTTACAAAGACTCATTGTGACACCTCGTGGGCTATTTCTCCCAGTGGGAAATGTATTCGGATGTAGAAGCCACACAGGCTTGTTTGTTTTCACACGGGTTTATTGTAAAAGGTTCTGGGGAGATGTCTTGTACTTCTGAATTTACCTATCCTGAAAATGCGCTCTTCGTGTGAATCAGTTGGACTCGTATCAGCATTGCCCCAGATCACATTATTATTTTTAATAAGAAAGTACCTTTTGCTTGATGTGGATGAATAAAAAAAAACTGCCCTGCAGGTACAGTTTTCCCTCCGACACAGAACATTAAGCAGTACAGTGGGGATGTCACCAAATCTCATGGGACTAGCATCCAGGGGCACACTGCTTAGATGAACTTACTGTAGATGTGCAGCTCTAAGGCTTAAGGGTGAGTTCACACAATAATTGCTGCGTTTTTACCGCAATTTTGATGCTTTTTTTGGGGGGGGGGGTTTAAACTTAACATTAGCTTTCAGTTGGAGTCCAGAGCAGTTGCATGTGATGTGTTTTGTTACGATCAGGTGCTGCTAAAATGAGACGAGCAGCATTTTTTTCTGACTGCATCGGGACTGACTGCACTGGTGTGAAAAGAGCATGAGGAATGCCCTTGGAAAGCATTGTGATGCAATTTTGATGCAGCTGCCAAACTGAACCGACTGCATCACAACTGCATCTGGTGTGAACTAACCCTAAGGCACTGGAGATGGAACTGAAGACAAAAGGTAGATCTTTCAGGGTACAACAAAGGCACAGAAAAGCATTTCTCTATGTTCCGTATTACTTAGTGGATCTTCACTTTTTAATTTTCAGTCTACTTTTATATAGGAAAAGAGTTTTACATAAAAAATAAATAAATCAGGATTTCCTTAGCAATTTCTGTGTCCTAAAAGAACATATACTCTTCTTCTAACACAATTTGTTGTATTTGTGTCATTCTGGGCAGTTGATCCGCTACAGTGTATCTGTGCTGGTTTACATTTTAACAAACAATGACTAGATACACTTGATTCTGCAGCAGTGAAAAAACTGCAGATACACCGAACAGGACCTCATCTGTCAAAGTGACAAAAACCTCTGGTCCATTATACAAGTGATAGACAGTGAAGGACTCTAGGATGCACTAGGTATATCCTAGGCTGTTAGCTGTTTAGGTATTTATTTATTTTTCCCCCCCATAATTTTCTTTTTATTATGACTGTAGATGGACGATACCTTGAGGATACGAATAGTCACCCAAGCAAGTCTTCCCGTCCTAGAAAATCCATCAAAGAAAAGACTTCTCGCAGTCCACTGCGTGTCACTACTCTGGAGAGCAATGTGAAAACTTCTTGCCATGTTGGGTTCCGGGAACCTTTGGCCTCATATCGGTAGGTGTAATAAGATGTGGTCGCCATATTACAGAATACTTAAAGGAAAACTGTGAGGTGAGTGATTTTCACTCAACCTCCTATTTCGAGCTGATCTGTGACAATGAAACTGTCACAGGTCGGCTCTATAGATCGGGAAGGCTCTTTAGATTGCTCACTTGCCAATCATCTCCCTGCAGAGAGCGGTGACTATCAGTCACGGCTCCCACAGGGATTCCCCCCCTCTCCGATCCTCCAGCGCTGACTGGAGAAACGGACGGGGGACGAGGCGGGTGCAGCTGGCTCTGCCTCTAGATGGGCCGAGTCAGCTATCACTCACGCAGCTGGTTGGATCACGACAACATTGTCGTGATCTGTCCCGGCTGTGGTGATCTCGGTATATTGTGAGCAATAGCCCGTGATATACTGAACTTTGGGTCATGGGAGGACATTAGAATATGTCCTCCCGTGACCCTTAAGAGAACTATGCGATAAAAAGGTTACTCCATAGTTCTCTTAAAAAAAAAAAAAGTCGCCCATTTCTTGCTGGACTATTCATACAGAATGTATGTTTTAAGACTGGATGGACTTACTTTGGAATTCTGTAATAATTTGTCTACCTCTGCTTTAAATTTTTTAATTTTTAATTTATTTTTTGGTCTCTAGTAAGTAGCTGGAATTCTGTTTTCAAGACTAATTCTTAAATGCATGCTGTCCTTTTTAGGGATGCTGCAAGTGTGCTTTCATCTTCAAATGAGAAAAGCTCCGTGCACCCTGTATCTGGTCTAAATAATGGCGGCCAGGACGAAAAGGACTTTGACAGCACTCGTACTTCAGCTTTGGATGAGACCTCTGTGCGCTACCTGAATGACCGACTGGCCATTGATGCTCTTGAGTGGAGATCACAGCAGTCTCGCAGTGACATACAAACTGGTTTTAGAGAAATGAAAGCATCAGAAATTTCCCAGCAACATGTGTCGTTCAGTCCTTCAAGTAATAAGCTAGAGACTCTGAAAAGGCGGCAACCTGACACCAAACTGGAGAAACTGAAAGAAAGAATTCGCCAGCAGTGGGAGATGTCAGTGGAGAAGGACAACAGAGAACGTCTCCCAAACACTACAAATTATACAGATGTTGCAACAGGCACAAAGACGCGGAAAGTGGCAGCTGCCCCTCCACCTCCGTCTTACCGTGGTATGACTGCAAGGAGTTAATCTGTTTTGATTCTGTGATCTTATACTAATGTATTATAGTCTTCCACTCCTGAGTTCTTTGAAAGTCCAATTAAAGCAGAACTTCAGGCACAAATCATTATCGGAAGATCTGCAATATAAATTAACTTGTTTTTATAGGTGCAACCTTCTTGTGCACAGTTAAACAACCCTCTGAAATCATAATAGACATGCCCAATTAAAATAGTATCAAACACTCAAACTTTTGCAATAATGAATCTATATCAAATATACATTGCTCAGCAAAGCATTGCTTTACATTTTTGCCCAAACATTTACAATCATCGTGTTTCTGAACAGCTGCTTCCAAGTCTCTTGGCTCAGCTTCCCTGAACTTCCTGTCCAGTACAAGATCACAAATGACAGTGCAGACTCCAGCAACTGTTCATCTTCTAGCTTGGGGAAGGGAAGAGGGGGCCAGGGGGGAGAAGCTTGATTTGCTGTGTTTGTGGAGACACACACCACTACACACACACACAAGGGTGACTGCATAGCACTCTGCTTGAGAAAGGAGTCACTCTACAATAGGAAGTCAGGGCCAGTGCTCAGGGGTCAGCTTATTCTGAAGGAAACTAAAACTTTTAAACATAAGTAGCAGCATCCATTGTAAGTGATTTCATCAGCATTGGAAATAGCTTAAAATCCCTTTTGACTTTAGTGGGTGACTATAGGGGAATCGTGACTTCTTTTGCTGTTCTTCCCTCCTCCCCAGACTGATTAGACAATGAAGTAGCTATAGCACACTGATCCCTCTGCTCTCCCCCAACTGCATAGTCAACATATTAGATTGACAGCAGTAAAGGGGGTGTAAAACAATGATCTTTTTTATTTAATTTGCTTTGACTTCCACTTTAAAGACATTGTACTGCCTTTTGCGGTGCTTTTTGGGCACATTTGTATCACGATTTCAAACTTCATTCTGTTTTGTTTTCAGTAAGCATTTGCAATATATGCTTTTTAGAAGCCTATTCCTTTTTTCCTTTGGTAATTATGAGTTTAAAGAGGCTGTGTTAGAAGTTTATCTGATATGTTCAGTACAATTCCAGTTATAGCTAGGTAGTATGAAGGATCTCTGCCAGAAAAAAAATTGTCTTTTAACTTACTTTGGTGCACAGCATTATACTTCATTTGGCCAAAGTGACAGACAGTTTGGATGAATTACTGCTTGTAATCTAAAACTACACCAGTTCCTTCAAGCTCACACACTATTGGCTGTCCTCTGTGTGATGCACTTTATTTTGGACTGGAAGCTTCCCTTTTTCTTGCTCAGTATTGGTCCTTTGAGTCGTTGCTGGTGACTAGGATAACTTGATGTGAGTCCAGTGTCTAGCAGCCACATATCTGGCCATTGAAGTTACACTTGCAGACTTTTTATACTTTTCATGCGCAACACATTGATCTTGCTTTTTCCCTCCAGGTTTTAACCCCCCAGAAACAAAAATTCGTACTCCAGATGGAAAAGTCTGGCAGGAGGCTGAATTTCAGAACCTCAGTGCACAGCTCCATAGTACATTGACACCCTCATTCCAAGGTGAGTGCTTAGTATATGATGGGAAATCTGGGGTTTAATCATTTGATTATATCTCTGTGCCATCAATTAGGAGAAAGGTAATGTGGAAGTCCAGGGATGGACTGCTGAATGAAAGGCAAATTTCACTAAAGTTAAATAAGTTTTAGGTTTTGTATAAAGTAGGGATGCACAGATACTTTTCAAGTACCAGTGCAGATACTTGGCATTTTCATGAGAACTCCCGGGGTTGCAGCTGGGACTGGGCCCCGGCGCTCCACCACTGTGCTGAAATAATTAGTCTGTATTGTTTTAGAAAAACTGTCACATGACAATAAACAAAAATGTATCAGTACTCGTACTTGTAAGTACTCGGCAAAGTACCAGTACTCGTACTCGCAAAACTGGTATCTGTGCATCCCTTTATTTATATTATATAAAAACAAAATCATACATTATAACAGAGATGTACAAGTCCCAGGAGCTCCGCGTGCTCCTTACAAATGACAGCCGCCTCCTAACTTTTGATAAAGGGTTAAATCATCGTTAGAAAAAGTACTTACCCTGTATAGTAACATTGACGTGTGGTGTGTCTCACTAGTCTTCAGCAAAAGAAGACGGATTGTGCCATCAAATAAATTATTGAAATTCGGTCTGTGCTTCAAGACAAAGCTTTATTTTACTAAGCAAAACGGGAAGAGCTGTTAATAGGTTGGTAGAATCCTTTGCTTTAGTGACTGCACGCAGAGTATTGGGTTTAGTTCATCTTGATCTGTGCACCGTCAAGGTTTGGTAGTGATGAGCAGGGACTTGGGGCAAACCCAGTTCTCCTGAGTTTGCCAATGCCTGGGCAAAACTATGAGACACCCCCTCCCAGTCCAATCATTCATGGCAGGGGCATTCAAGGAGATGAAATGGAACAGGCTTTGGCATATGGATAAATAAAAGGCAACAAATATTTGCAAGTGTGCATGCAGCAGTGTTGTTAACTTGCAGTTTCAGAGTGTTTGCACTTGGAAAAAAAGATGCTTTAGTTCTACTTTACTCAAGTGCATATTTCATACAAAGCCACGTTATAATTTGTGCAATGATATTGGTGGGGATATGTTTAGTTACAAATGCATCTGTAAAGTTACTGATGGGATAACTCGCAATCGTTGACTAACAGAATCAAAGGTTCATGTACCTGGTAAAAACTGCTATGACCTGCAGAAACCAGTATACAGCCAACACCTCTGTCATGTGCTGCAAATGAGTGTGTTAATGTTTGCACTACAGCTGGTAGAAAGGACAAAGCATAGGTATTTGTTCTGTCCAAAATTGTGTGTGTGCAGTTATTTTATTAATGACTTAGGAAATGAGATGTTGGTAATGTGAAATCAGCTAATACAAAAGTGAGATTGACAGTGCAAAAGTAAATGGAGTCTCCTGTTTGCCTAGAAATTGCACCTTCAAGTGAAAAGACGAAAGAGAGGAGAACATCTAGACCAGTGAGGAAGGTGCAGAGGTTGGGAGTAGATGGAGGCTCTGCAAGTCCTGATGGCAAAATGGGTGAGTTTCGCATAACCTAGGTTTGGTTAGTGTGTAACTGTATTGAGTCATTGCATTTTTTCCCCTTATTATTTATTTATTTTTTGTGATTTAGGACACATAATTAGTACATCTTCATGGAGAGATGGTCAAAAGCTGGTAAAACAAATCTTGGGTCCTGCACGTAAGGTTGAAAAGGAAGCAAAGTCTCATTCTGATGATCTTCAGACAAACAAACAGGCTTCATCCACAAGCAGAGCAATGGATAAAAGGTCGGCATCCAAAGAAAGGAGCACAGAGAGAAGGATGGTATCTGATGATCAGCAGGGGAAGGGTCGTTCAAAGTCAAGTGATCGACATACTGGCAAAAGATCCTCTTCCAAAGATCCACCGAAAGAAAGCCAGGACACAACCAGTAAATCAGGTTAGTGGGTTCTACCAATCTTCCTTTTTAAAAAATATTTGTTCTTGTAGGATCTTAAAAAGATTTTCCCCAGTCATCTTCCAGGACAGCCATCGAGATATAGGCTCCGCCTGCCTGCAACAGGAAACACATCAACCACATTAAATAAATAGACTCCTCCTTCCATCCCAAGTCAGTTTTTTGTGTAGCCCTCGCTGAAGCTGGTGGCTCTCGCCCAAAAGGGAAGAAGTGTACCTCTTGCTTTGCAAAAATGTCAGCTTCATGGTCCAAACCCTTGTGCAAGGATTGTTTAGAGGAAATAGTTGCAAAAGATTCGGCCGGAATGTTTAAGGGGCTTTTGGACTCAATGAGAGATGAAATGGTTACTACATTTCAGTCTTTCAGGTCGGCGCTCCAGACCCCGGTGAGTACACTAGTGGATGCTAGTTTGCCCGGTACGGATCAGGAGGAGTCAGAAGGGGGAGTTGCGTAGCAGTTCAGCTACAAAATTCCTTTTTCCTTCATTTGAGACGGGTGAGCTGTTGAAAGCCATAGGGGATACTCTGGGTATTAAAGAGGAGTCCACTGAGCTTTCGGTGCAAGACAAACTGTACAAAGGGCTTCAGACTAAGAAAGGACGCACCTTCCCGGTCCACAAATCACTCTCGGACATTATCCAAGAGGAGTGGAAGCACCCAAGTGCTGGCAGAGGCTCTGGCGCCGCTAAGATTACGGAGCGTAGGGGTTATTCCATATTTGGACGACCTTTTGTTCTTTGCCCCGTCAGAGCTGGTGCTCCAACAAAAACTGGAGCTGGCTATACTGCACTTGGAGAGTCTGGGTTGGTTTGGTGAACAGGGAGGAGTCACAACTGGTCCCCGCGCAGAGAGTGAAGTTTCTGGGTTATTGGATCAATACCGAGGACATGACCATTGCATTACCAGGAGACAAGGTGTCTCTATTGATAGAGGAGTCGCTGAGACAGAAGTTACAGAACACAGCCCCAGTCCAGTCGGTGATGAGAATGGTCGGTCTCATGACGTCTACGATCCCAGCTGTTACCTGGGCACAGTTCCACTCAAGGCCATTGCAGAATTGGCTGTTGAGGGTGTGGGGAAGTCGACTAGAGGACTTAGACAAAGGGGTCCAGATCACAGAGGAAATCAAGCATTTACTGCTGTGGTGGATGGATTGTCGGAACCTCTCAGTCGGCAGACTTTGGTGTCAGCCTACACCGCTGGTGGTCACGACAGATGCCAGTGCCTGGGGTTGGAGTGCTCACTGCCAGGAGCACATTTGGCAGGCTGCCTGGGAGCAGGCGGGCCGCCTCAAATCGTCAAACTGGAGAGAGCTGAAGGCGATAGAGCTAGCTCTCTGCCAGTTCCGGGAGATGTTAGCCGGTCACCATGTGGCAGTGGCCTATATAAACAGGCAGGGGGGCACGCGTTCGCACGGCCTCATGCAGTTGGCAACGAATATTCTAACTTGGGCAGAGCACAACCTCCTCTCCCTGACGGCGAGGCATATCAAGGGCAGCCTGAACGAGTTGGCCGATTCACTCAGCAGGACGGAGCTGCACAGGTCAGAGTGGACTCTGAACGCAGGAACGTTTGCATGGATCACCAGCTTGTGGGGCTGTCCCGAGGTGGACCTCTTCGCAGCGGCCGACAACAGAAAGGTGGAACCATTTTTTTTTTTCCCTCTCCAGGAACGACGGAGCCCTAGGGGTGGACGCTTTGGTGCACCCCTGGAGGTTCAGTCTAGGTTACGCATTTCCTCCACTGCAGTTAATCCCGAATGTGCTTCGAAAGCTCAGGGGCGAACGGATGACGTTAATTCTCATAGCGCCATGTTGGCAGAAGCGGCCGTGGTTCACGACCCTCCTGGAGCTGTGTGTGGCGGGGCCTCTGCTTTTTCCGCCAGCGGCGGATTTATTGATGAAGGGCACGGTGAGACACCCGCAGGTGCAAGCTTTAAATTTAGCTGCATGGCTACTGAGAGGGAGGTGTTAACGAACAAAGGGTTATCAGCACGGGTGGTGGCTACACTGCTGCACAGTAGAAAGCCGATAACATCTGCGATCAACCTGAAGGTGTGGAAAGTGTTTTCCGGCTGGTACAGCAGTCAGGGTAGGCCTGCGGTGGCCATCGTACCATTGGTGTTGGATTTCCGGCAGGGCGGTCTGGGAAAAAGGGCTTTCCTGTAGTACTCTGAAAGGTGCAGGTTTCTGTGCTGTCTAATTTCGTGGACATTAGACTGGCGGAGGAGCCTCTCACCAAAAGGTTCATGCGAGCGGTAGGCAGAATGAAACCCCCGAAGCGTAAGGTGGTGCCAAACTGGGACCTCTCGGTGGTGCTACAAGGGTTTCTCAAGCAGCCTTTCGGGCCCCTGGGGGGGTGTTCCATTCAACAGCTGACGATAAAGACAGCTCTCTTGGTAGCGTTGGTTTCCGCACGGAGAATTAGCGAGATTCAGGCATTTTCCATTACAGACCCGTACTGCACCAACCTGGTAGATCGGATTATTTTGCGACCAGACCCGGCATTCCTGCCAAAGGTGGTTTCCACCTTCCACAGGACTCAGGAGGTGGTCATTCCTTCGTTTGCCACCAACCCGGCCTCTGCAAGAGAACGGGAATGGCAGGGTATTGATGTTCGTAGGTGCGTTTTGGAGTACCTCCAAGTCACAAAACCTTGGCGGCAGTCGTCCCGCCTCTTTGTTGTTTTTGGGGGACCCAATAGGGGGAGCAGGGCCACTAAAAGCACGATAGCAAGGTGGATTAAGATGGCCATAACTGACACCTACAAAGCACAGGGCTTGGTGCTGCCAGGTTCGCTCACGACACACTCGACTCCAGCATGGGCTACGTCCTGGGTAGTGCGAGCAGGGGCTACTCCAGAACAGATCTGCAGAGCAGCCACGTGGTCCAGCTTCCAGAACTCCGTCAGGCACTACAGGCTGGACCTTGTGACTCAACAAGACCAGGCATTTGGCAGGAAAGTCCTGCAAGCTGTGGTCTCACCCTAAGAGGTAAGATTAGTCCTCACTGATCCTCTCGATGGCTGTCCTGGAAGATGACTGGGGAAAACATGAGTTGATTACCTGATAACTCTGTTTCCAGGAATCTTCCAGGACAGCATATTCCCACCCTTGGTAAGTATCCAGGTGGCATCCGTGGTTGGATGAAGGAGGAGATACTTTAGTACATGGGGTAGCCTTCGGTCCTAGAGGTTACTGACTTGGGATGGAAGGAGGAGTCTATTTATTTAATGTGGTTGATGTGTTTCCTGTTGCAGGCAGGCGGAGCCTATATCTCGATGGCTGTCCTGGAAGATTCCTGGAAACAGAGTTATCAGGTAATCAACTCATGTTTTCAGCAATCAGCAGCAATATTAGGCCTTCAATGTTACATTTGGTAGGAGCTTTGATTTGAACAGCTACATAATCTTTTTCTACCTTAATCAATTCTCTTTCAGGCAATCTACCCTAATTAAGATCAGTTAGAATGACACTTGTCTTCTAATGTACGTAGCAGAGGAGATTGCTGGAAATTTGGGTGCAGAGACCTAGCTCCTGGTGTCAGTTTTGATATAAAAAAAAGTTTGTGGGTGATGCAACCTGGCTCTGTCTACCTCAGACTGAAGTTTCTGTTTTCAGTGGACCACCCTTTTAATACTTTAATGTTTTCACATTTATAGCACACTCTTCAAGCCGTTTGGAGTCTCATCATCCTGAGAATTCTACTAGGGGTCAAGCTAAGAAAACAAATGAAGTAAACGGTACAGAGATGCAGAAAGTCAAAGCTGAATCGACAGAAGTGAAAAAAGATTTTCTTCCTCTGGAAATCAGGGGAATCTTGGAAGATCTGCAGTTGGACGGTGCCGTTGATGGTACTAAACAGGTCCGTAACAGAAGCCAAAGCCCCACCAAAAGGAAACCTGAAAAGGGACAAGTTTCTGAAGAGCCACACATCTCCTCAAAAAGGAGGCATTATGACACTGAGCAGGTACGGTTATATATTATGCGCCAACAGGAAGAGAGGAAAAAGAGTCAGCAGAAGCAGAGGGAGGCCCAGCGGCAAGCTGAGGAACAAAAGAACAAGCGACTACAAGAACTGTATCAAAAACAAAAGGAGACTTTTAGCAAAGCTAAAAGTGTGTCCTTGGGACAGCGAGAGAAGGAAGTTCAGGAGACGACGTCAAGCAAGTCTCCGGAACCAAATTTACAGCGACCACATGATACTTACACCAAACTGCTGCTAGGACAAGCCTGGCCTGAAGTCTCTACACAGGTGGGTTTTATTGTGAAATTTCTAAAAGTTTACAGTTTCTTGAGGTAGAAGAAGGAAGTCGAAGAAGCAGGTTAATGACATGCAAGTATAAAAAAAGCAATGTGCAAAGTGTGCGCAAATAGTATTGCAGATGATCATTGGATTATATTTTTTGTTACTGCATTATATATATTGTTTTGGTCATGACGGCGCAATATTACTTTATCAAGTAGATAGTGGCCATTGTATTTAAATGATCTCTGTTGCCTGTGCATCTAATCCTGCTCAAGAAGGTTACCTAGAAAACTTTAAACTGCACAAATGTGATTATTATCACTGTAATATATTTCACACTCCCAATACTAGTTGCATTTTGCTTGCTTATATAGCTGTCTTTTTTGTTTTTTTTACCAAAAATATTTATATGAAGCCTATTTTACATTGTTGCAGTGATTGCGAAGTGCAAACAGAAATATGATTTTTTTTTTTTTTTTTTTATTAAAGACAAAACTTTTGTATCAGCCTTCCGGTGAGTCAGACAAAGAGAATAAAGGCCAGGAGAGACCTCATAGTGCCTCCTCCAGTAGCGACCTCTCCCTCTCTGAGCCTCTACAGCCCCTTCTCAGGTAAGTCATTTCTATTTCTCTAATAACTTATAACTAAGGCAGTATATGAAATAAAATATGTTTTTTGTTAAAACATTTTCCTTTTTCTGAGGACATTTGTATCCTGATTTGGACACAAACCAATAAACTGGCAGCAGGGTTTTAAAGCAGGCAACTACCGTTTTATACACCCCTTTATATTCTAAAATACCATGGGAGACTTGAGCTCTGCAGATCTCCTCCTGCAAACGCACTGTTGGTTAGTGAGGCTGGCAATCATTCTGAGTGGTGAATATCCGGGTGTAGGATGTGGGTAGGCCTCAGATTGACATTCTTATTTCCACTGAATTTGAGATTTATATAATAGCATGCCATGAACTCCAGCAACTATGATGGACATGCACCGAGCCTGCTGCCAGTTAATAAGCATTACAGGAATGACAAGTATACAGTAAAATTCAGCCTGTGCATTGCTCTTGCTGGGCAGAGCAGCCTGTTCACTTTAATGCTGGCCCCCCACATCTGCCTATACTCTTCTTTTCTCCCCTCCACTGCTTCTCCATTTACCTGTCTAAGCAAGGAGTAGAAGCCCAACGTAAGCTTCATGTTGTGAAGCTTACGCAGAGCTGAGTACTATTTCTCCAATTGCATGTGAAAATGCTTGTTGCCGGTCTCCAAGTGACAACGTAAGAAGGGAGAAAGTTATTTGCTTTCCTATACCCAAGACTACTGGGTATGTAAATTCACTTCCCTGGAAGAGCAGAGAGATAGGAGACTGAAGGGAACACAATTATAACCGACTGTGGGTATTGCCATTATTGAAGGTGCTTGGGCAAAGCATAGGTTCCCTTTTAATTAACTTGTCTGATTTTGTTATTTTTTTTGTATTCATTTCAGGAATGACCTTGCAGAGACATACTATCCTCAACCAGACAGGCTGACCTCAAAAAGCCTGTTACCTCATTCTTATAGCCAGACACCAGGGGGAGCCGGAATTCTTCCTCAGTACCTTGCCCTTCCTAAAGACTTGGAATCTATGTTTAGTAACTGGAAAAGTTCTACAAATGTATTGCCATCCAGTCACAAGTCAAATGTCCAAGGAAAACCATCCACTGATTTCAAGAGCAATCTGGATCGCATAGAATCTTTAAAAGCAACAGCAGTATCTCTGTCCTCTAGAATTGAAAATGAAGCTAAAAAGTTAGCTGGTGGATCACTTAACTTTCCATCTGCCTGGTCTGTTGATCCAGATCCAAGACAGCCAATAAAAGCAGCTTGGAAGAAGCCAGACAGTCCCCCAGAACGAGAGAGTCGAGAGGATGTTTTCTCCAGTAGGATGCAGAAAATGCTGAGCACATGTTCCAGTAGCTTCTCCCAGGATGACCTTCCTGGGGCAAACCATCTCTACAGGAAACATCCTGAGGAGCTTATGCCTCGAGCATCCACCTCTCTAAGGACACACGATGTTGGACAAGAAGAAAAATCGTCCATGCAAAAACCTGAAACATCTGCAAGGCCTGAAATGTCAAAGAAAGCCTCTCTGTCTCCCAATTCCAGCACCAGCTCTATTAGTGAAGGGCCAATATTGAGTGAGGCCAGTTTTTCTGAAGAGGAAGGTCTTCCTAAACACGAGTCACATCCTAATCCTGCAGAAACTCTTAAAAGTAAAGAGTTCTGCATCCGGGACACCAAATCTTTTGCTCCGCTTTCTGAGTTCCAGAGGGAGGCTGATAAATATCTACCTTTGCCAACATCTAGCATTAGACCGGACCCTTGGGAGGAGTTGGCCAAAGGAAGCCCTCACAGTGTCATTAACATCTTTACCAGATCTTACCAGTACTATGGCAAAAGTGAGGATCATAGCACATGTTTTTGAAGAGTATGCCATGTGTTTTCCCTGAAATATGTGTTGATTTTTTTTTTTTTATTCTTGTTAAATAGAACTAAATGGACATTGTGAAGAGAGCAAACCAGAGCCTGTGCATTCAGCAGCTAGTCCTCAGAACAGCATCTCCTATGCAGATGATTTTGTTTCATCCCAATCTAGTGAAGCGACCGTAGGCTCTCAGAAGTCTGCTCATCGAAGGTTAGAATTCTTATTGCAATTGAAATCAGATGATTTGACACCTGTGAATAACATAATGATGAGTCTGATTCCCTTCTTTGATGCCTTTTTGTTGTCACAATTTATTCCTTGGGGCATATTTATAAAGCAGTGACCTTTACCAGACATTCACTGCAGGTGAATTTTCCAGGTGCAGAGCAACGTTGAATATTTGTTTTTGCCAAAACAACAAAATGAACCAGCTTGTGCTATTGCAGTAAACTTATTCAGCTGTATTGCCAGTCAACCATTTTATGTACATCCATCTTTTTAAACTTTAAATGTGTTTATTTATACATCTTTCATACTTGGAATGATACAACAATGACTACGGCTCCTACAGTTTTACCTAACAGCTTTTTCTTTTTTCTATTTTTATAGTGTGGATAGCAGTGCTTCCAGTGCCAAGGAGGAACTGTCAGCTGCCAAGTCTAGAAGTGAAGGAGCATCATCTCACTCTTCACCACCTTCCTCTGTTGCTTCATCTCCTTTATCAGTTTCCTCTCACAGAGGCAGTTCAAAGAGTGAGATATATTCTTGTTGTGTTTGTGCAATGTTTAACAGATATATTTCATACTATATTTTTCACTTGCCTATCCTTTAGCTTCTGATGCTTTGTGTTTAAAGTGGATCTAAATTCATCAGACATACCCTAACCCTAAGGGTTAGTTCACACCAGAAACTGCATCACAACTGCGTGCGTCTGCGCAGTTGCATTGCGATCCGTTTTGACACATTTGTAATGCGTTTTTTCCCCTGGATGAGGCCACAATCCTGTTTTTATGCGTTCCGGTGCGCTTGCATGCGTTTTGATGCATTCCGGTGCGATCAGACGCAGCTAAAACAGGACGAGCAGTACTTTTTCTGACTGCATCTGAACGGACTGCAGTGGTGTGAATACAGCACAAGAAACCCCATAGGAAAGCATTGTGATGTATTTTGGCTGCAGGAGTCAAACTGAACGGACTGCATCACAACTGCATATGGTGTGAACTTACCCTAAGGGCTCAGTCACACTAGATGCAGTGCGTTCCGGCCCGATTTTGACCGGAACGCACTGCCTGGCATTGCGGCCGGCTCACTTTTTAGTGGGGTAGGAGGGGGCGTGACGGGCCATTCAAGTGAATGGCACCATAGCCACGCCCTCCGGATGCAATGCGATCCGCCACACGGGATCGCAAGGCACATTGTCAGAACCTGTGTGGTGCGATCAAAATGCTACAAGCACTATTTTGATCGCATTGCGCAGGCACAATGTGCTGCATCTATCACAACGCACTGCATCTAGTGTGACTGAGCCCTAAGAGTTTCTTAAACCTAAAAGCTCTGTCCAGCTGCAGGTCTTGGCTGGAGAGTCAACCAGAATCTGTGTTCAGGCAGAGCCTCTTCTGGTTGGCTCTGTTTTAAGTATCCAAATTTAGAGGTTGTGCCTGGATGATGGTGCTCGTGTGACTCCCCACTAAAGCAAGAGCCAAGCTCACGGACAAAGTTAGTCAGGATCGGGTGTTAAGAGGAGTATATGTGTATATATATTTTTTCTTTTGCATGTTAGGTGTAAGGGCAAACTGTGATTTTAGGTCTGCTTTAAAGTGACCCTGTTATTAAAGGCTTAATTAAAATAAAGGCCACCCTGTTAAAGAAAAGCAGGTATACACACCTTTCTGGCAGCCTGTGTCTTCAGACTCTTGACAGTTTGCTGCTCTAGAAGATGGGGGGGGGGCGGGGTTGTACCCGTCGACTCATACGTCTCATAGTGATACGCAAGCCTGGGCACTGGAAAGCATACAACTTCATCTTTTACATGTTGGCCTTTGTATACAAGTGAGCCTGTGCTAACAGATATTTAAAGGGGAATAACCTTTTTACTGCTCACACGTCATTTAATTTGCATGTTTCTGCAAACTGAAAAAAACTGTAACTATATTCAGTAATTTCTCTTATTCTGCCCTATAGGAAAGGAATCGCAGAATGGTAGCCCTCAGTTGCCTCTGGATGTTGTGCAAAACGTATCCGGCTCTGAACATAAAAGCAATGTCGGCAAGCAAGCTCAGTCTGGAAAAGAGCAATCTGCAGGTTCTGAATCTGACAGCACCATGGGTGATCTTTCTTCTCGATCTATTACCAGGTATAGCTCTTGCGTTGTTTCTTAATTTTAGCATTTGTCTTGTGAGAGACAACCTGTGAATGAAAGCTGCACTGTTTTTGTATGTTAGCCTTATGTCTGATGGAGGAAGGAATGATAAAAGTCATTATTCTAGCATAAAGGATACAGCAGGACAAGCACCCTCAGCACCAGCACATCCAGTCACTGCAGCCGCAGGAAGCCAAGCTCCAGGCTTAATGGCTGTATCGGGACAAAGTATGTGGTTATGGTTCTTCAATTTAATTTAGTACTTGGTATCTTAGATTATAGATTTGTCTTATTATGTTTAAATAATGTGTCTGCTGCAGGTGCTATTCGATTTTCCCCTGCCGGCTTACAGCACCGCATGTCTGCGGAACTAAACTACTTGGGTGCCATGGAAGAATCGGTTAGACAGCTGTGTGATGTGGAGCGTGTCCGGGGAATTTCACTTGCACAGCAAGAAACTGTTTCTCTGGCTCAGATCCTAAAGGTAAGTTTCGCTTTATGCCATTCTCTGGCAGGGATTGTTGTTCTTTACCTGGCAATTCCTCACTTCATTTGAGTTGGCTGGCCGTCAGCTGACACTACTGCACCTATCAACTTAGAGGTTGTGGTATGTACTCCGTTGGTACATTTTCTATGTTGATAAAGGCAGGGGAAGAGTCGCCTTCTAAGCATAGCAGGAAATAAAAATGACAATTTAGTAACATATCTTGTCATACAGTAATGTTAGATTGCATTGGAAAACCTGTGCTGTATGTTGGCCTTTTTTTGTGTTTATGCTGATTGGAATTTATTTGGTGATTGAATGAAAAAAATACACAACACCAGGCTGCCACATGCTCCGCCATAGCTGGAATAACTGAGTATACTGTCTCCCCCCAGTTTCTAATCAGGGTCATATGGGAGTGTGAAGGAAGGGGGAGTGTATGTGCTGTTGGGTAGGGCGGCAGAAAAGTGGACCAGTTGTTTTTTCCAGCATAGGCAAAGCACAGGTTTGGTTGAACTTTCCACTTCTCGTTAAAAAAAAAAAAAATATATATATAATATAATTTGTCTTTTACAGTCTCAACAACAACGCCATGAGCAAAGTATGGCTGCTCTTAGACTGCAAGCAGAACAAGAGGCCCAAGCAAGTATGAGACAACTGGAGGAGGCACGTCAGATGGCAGCACAGGTAAGGAATAACACTAAATCCTATGAATGTGGCCTTCCAAACCATTACATTGAATGGCTCAATAGGCCGAAGATTAGATTGCACCAGTATTTTAAAAGCAATAAGTCATATAAGCTTTTGATGGAGTGGTGGCAAAGTTGCACATATTTTAAATTAAAGGTAGATGAATAGTAGTTAACCTTGGTAAAGGGAAATGGGGGAGTTGTATACATATAATTTAATAACTGCCTTTTATATTAAAATTATCTGTCTAAAATATAGGCCACCAATCTGATCATCAGCAATATGTAGTGGAATTAACTATAATAAATGTGTTCATATTAAATATTAATAAAATAACATATATTTTAAAAGTAGAACAAAAAAAACAAGCACCTGAACTTCACAAAATAATGTATTTATTTATAAAGAACCACATTTCAGTGTACGTGTAGACTCGTGATCATTTACCAGCTTACCAGATTTGCAAATCTGACAAGTTGGTTATCTTTTTAATTGACCTAAATCTAATTTTGAAGGTTTTCCAGTTTGTTTCCTATGTTTTGTGCTTTAGGTAATAACCTTCTTTGTACTTGAATTGCGTGTACATTTGTTTCTTTGCTTTTTAAATGATTGGACCTCTGCTTCTTAAAGCAGAATTTTTAACTAAATAGTTTATTAACCCCTTCGTGACTGACGACGTACAGTGTACGTCGCCAGCATCGGGGCTGTTTAAACAGACTCCCGGCGACTTTTACCGCCGGGAGTCTGTTTAAACTTGTAGAGCCGACTGTCGGCTTTACAACAAAGCCATTAAAGTTTTTTATAGCAAAAGAGACATGGGGCTCAATTCACAAAGCTTTGACACAAAGATGAGGCTCTTTAATTTAGCCATGTGACAGTACTTTTCTAATCCTATTGGACTTGTCTAAAAAGATAGTCCACTTTTTTTTAACTTTTAATATGATTTAATACTTCTCATAGTGTTAGCTTTGTGAATATTTGCTTTTATGTTCTTCTGTCAAAAATACAACTTTACTTTCCTGCTAACATTTTGTTTTTAACTGTACACTGACTGGTACACATATGTAGCACAGGGTACTATCCAAGCATCTGTAAGATGGTGAGAACTGGCTGTCATGCATATGCACAGGAATTCCATTGTCCTAAGAGTTATGTCATTAGTGACTGAGCAATGGCTGAACAAAGAAGACACCGCACCTGGAAAACTAGAGAAATGGTAGATGCATACGTGAACATTATGGAAAGAGTTCCAAGAACATGATTAAGATTTCGTTCCACTTTAGGGGTGCATTAATGTTTCTTTTTGTACTGCTACTTCTGAAATACTACTTTAAGAAATGCTCTAGTGTAATTTATCAAGTCTCACAAGCCTAATTTACCCACAGACACAGGCAGAAATGCTTCAACGTTTCCAAAAGACGCTGGAAGCTTCTGCATCGCAAAATGTTGTCCAGGTACAAGAGGTGGGTAGTGACTTCATATGCTTTTTTCAGCCTGTCATGTGTTAGATTTAGTATATGGATTACAGATGGATTTGGTTTTCGCTCTTAATTGTGTTTGTGTGCGATACAGGCCCCATGCTTTTCTTGCACAGTTTTTTTTGTAACAAGTTCCCCACCCCATAGGAAGCAGGGCTCTTCATTAGCCCTTCCAGCACTTAAATATGTATGTTTATTTTAACTAAATGTATAAATGTCAAGGTTTTTTAACCAGCAAAATTATCTTTTTGCAGTCCTTCACCCTGTTTGAGTTAAATCCTACAGTTTAGACAACTCCAGAAATATTTCTGTAATATAATAGGCTGAAAAGCGAAAAAGCACCTCTACCTTTTGTATGACATGGTATTGCTTCCCTTTTTTAGGCTGTGGACCATGATTACTTGTCTCCTACCAGCTCAGACCCTGCTGCCATCTCTTCCACGGAACAGCAAAAGCGCCATCGCTCTCGTGGTATAAGGTATCACATTGTTTCTATAATTTTTAGTTAATGTTCACTACTTTAGAGAACTTTTGGTTGTAACCATTTTATTCACACCCTGACTTGATTATTATGTGCCAAATCAGGCAGTTCTTACTTGGCACATCTAGATGGATTAGGCTGTTTTTGAATCATGGCTCAGTATTTGTTCTCTTTATATTAGAAAAAAGACTTCTCGCTCTGCCTCTCCATCTTCTCAGCCTTCAAGCAGTGTGTCCAGCTTCAAAGAGCAATCTCACAGGTATGTAGGACACACACGCATGTCTGTTGCTGAGGGCTGTGCATTTTACCTGGCTGTTTTTGATAACAATTGTTGTATTGGATTTTTGCAGTAGTAGCAGTGAACAGGAAAGTCCACCACCTTCATCTGTCAAGGAGGAAATCATTAGTCAGCGAGATCTGGAGGAGAGCATCTCTGAGGAGCTGCCAACACCAGACGGGAGTGCGTTAAAGGGGGACAGCAGCATTTCTCTTGACGATAAAGGTTTGTGTAGGTTTAGAGAGACAAACCTTTTCTTGTTTATTAAAGGGTATGTGTGGTCTAAATGCCCTCAGTGCATACATCGATCTCTTTCCTAGCAAAAAAAAAGTGCTGCTGTCTTGACTCCCGAGAACCTGTCCAGACACTGTGTAGGGAAAGGGCTTTTGGGAGATGTAGATCTTGGGGCTGTGTCTACATCATTAGGATATTACCTAGGGCAGGGCTAGCCAAACTCCGGCCCTCGAGCTGTGGTGAAACTACAAATCCCATGATGCATCTCTCTCCAGGAGTCATGTCTGTAATACTTTTGCAATGCATCATGGGATTTGTAGTTCCACCACAGCTGGAGGGCCGGAGTTTGGCTACCCCTGACCTAGGGCATTACGTTTTTATCTGTTGTCCCTGCAGCTGCCCTGCAAGAATTTTACAAGCCTTGTGATGACATCATAGGGAATATTAAAAGCTGTTTCTTACTATACGAAAGTAAAAGAAAACAATTATGCTGGGACATGCTGTTAAGGGGGAGAGGGAGGTTTGGCAGGTAATTTGAGGTCATGCTTAGTGATCAACTTTAGCAGGACCTATCCTTTTTTTTTTATCTCTTAAACAGACTTAAGTCAGATCAACTTAATGTAAATCAGCATCAAGAAATCCAATGGTTCTTATGATTTGTGTGTGTTTACGTACTGTATATAAGCCTCTTTAGATGCACAAAGGCATGTGCTGTATATTCGCAAAAGCATACACTGAAGATCTATATACACAAACCACATTTGTGTGTATGTATATAGTGCATTGCTTCCTTCAAAGGATGCACAGCGCTTGTGCTTCAGTCCTTGTATGTCCGTGAAAGTAAGACCACTGAGCTTCAATAAAAAGTCAGTGACCCTGCTCATATTGATGCCAGCTTATATCAAACCCAAATTCTGGTATACAGTACAGACAACAGGTACCTTATTCTCTCAGGTCATCTCATACCAGTCATTTATCTGGTATGCTGATTGCATTTCATTGATTTATAAAACTAGCAGCATAATGAAATGTTTCCCTTGTTACGAGTGTATACAGTTTTTTTGTCAGTGGCCAAAATGTGTTAATAGTTATACATTGATATTGGTATATTCCTTAGGTGTTACCTCAGCAGTTCCTACTAATGAAGAGGGCATTGAGGAATTATCATTTCGTTCTCTGCTTCCCTCTGAATCCCACCGGCGCGGTAGCTTGGAGAGACAGAGAAGTCGGAGACATGAATCTGACGAGGAAAGCACTCCTGATAAGGTGAGACTAGAGAGTTAGCTTTGTGTAAAGGTGACTGTAACGCATTTCAATGTGTATCTAACATAATTACATGCAAATGAATCTTGCACAGGAGCTCAGTGGCCCCTTTTCAAGTGGACAGGACAGTTTCTGGAAATTCACAATGGAGATGGTTCGGCAATACATGCAAGAAGGAGAAATGCGCTCTGCACACCAGGCTGCTCTCCTTCGCCTGCGTCAGAAAGCACTGAAAGAGAAGACTAAAGCAGAGCTTGCTTGGCTGGAACACCAGAGAAGGTAAAACTGAATGGTTGGACAAGCCTCAGGAGCCAGATGGCCAGCTCCCTTAAACGCTCCCTGGATCTTCAGGCTTTTAGATCTGACATATTTGCTTATAAGGACTACATTGCAAACCCTGCCTTTACTTATCTATCTTAATGCTTACAGATGTTTATGCATTTATTGTTAGAAAAACATTATTTTTGGTATCATGATAACGGTAAAAACCTTTTGGACCGTAGTTTTGTTGTTTTTTTTATTGAAATAGCCCTAGTTAAGAACACATGGAGTTGATATCTCCACCTTTTTGTTACTTTAATGAGAGTCAACACTATTCTCAAAGAAATGCACAGGTCTTTTAGGATAAACAGAAATAATCCCAAAACGCATTCAAGATGAAGTAATTGAGCAGTCAGAATCTCCATCCCACCATATAGAGCTGATGCTTTGGTACTGAAAGTTGTTTGTTTGCCTATGCATGGGCAGAGTATCTGCTTATTACTTCTAAAACTGCTTACTTTAATTTAGAATTGGTTTAAACATGCACAGCAATACTGTCTACTTCACTTTCTGACCAATTTTCTGAAAGCCTGTGCTGTCGCCTGCAATCCCTCTCCTTGATCGGCTGGAATTTTAAAGTGTATGGTATAAGTGAACCCGCACCACTGCGCGTGCAAGGCAAGGAAGGAACCTTTACCATGGTTTGAAGCACATAAACGCCGTTCTTATTATATACTGTCAGTTGCACTATAAAATTCTTTTGGAGGATACAACAATACTTTACTTTTACCTTAGAAAGACACTGGAGAAACACACTTGTGCAAAAATGACAAAATGTGCACATGCAATAAAACATTTTATAAAATCACTTAAAAACATACATTGGTCCCTAAGAAGCCACTCAAAAATCCAGCGAGAGTAAATCAACAATTGCAGGTGTTCAAATGGACACCTAGCTGGATGACCCAGGTCATATATCATCAAATATACGCAGTTGGTGAAACCCTTAGAAGCACATGGAAATGTAATGAAGCATGGTCGCATTCCCACATCTGCAACAGCATTAAAATGGATCATATAATCTCCAATACATATGAGGTGGTTAGTGTAATAAATGAGCAGTAGTTGTAATCCTTGCCCCCCACCCTATCCAAATTTTAAAAAAAAGTTTAGGTCATAGATTCACTTTAACAAATGCAGCCCGGTTCAGGAGTCACCCAAGCCAGTGATCCAACAGTGTCACGGAAGCAAATTAATTCCATTACTTTTAGTCCGTTACTTGCAGCTAGGTTATAGCATACCCATGTGACTGGACTGTTACTGCGGCTCCGGTAGATTTAGCCATCATTATTGCAGTTCCAGTTTGGAACTTCTAATGAATTCCAATATTCAAAGCTAATCCTAATGTACCAAGCCACCCCTCATTTTCGATTAACACCAGTGTGACCTTATTGCTGACTATTGAATGTTTTTCAGAAGTCTGCGTGACAAGGGAGAAGATGACAAAATGCCACCATTGAAGAAGAGACAACGAGGCCTTTTACTGAGACTCCAGCAAGAACAGGTATGTTTATCCAGGAATAGATCGCCATGTATATTTAACTCTGTACATTCTGTAATACAGAGTTTCTATTTAGGCGGAAATCAAGCGTTTGCAGGAAGCAAACAAAGCTGCACGCCGGGAGAGGCAACTTATCCTGAAACAGCAAGAGGAGATTCAGCGTATCCAGGACAGCACACTGCGGCTACAGGAGAAGCTTAAATCTGCAGAAAGTGGGCAGTTGGTGTGTATTTTTATTTCTTTCTGACTTTATGTATGGTTATTATGAGACGAATTAAGCCAGATAGATTGTTTGGTCTACAATAGGTGGGTTTATTTTCATGTTGCTAGTTCTGGGATTTTCATTAAAATACAAAGCATGCCACAACCCACCTTTTTGATTGTGTGTGTTGTTTCTGGAGAGCAACCATCAGGGCTAGTTCACATCAGCCACAATGCCTTCCGGCCAGGACCAGGCCTGAACACACTGTGGGTGGTGTGAACTAGCCCTTATTTTACATTGATTATCTCTGGTTTATGTTTTTTTGAAACATTCACTGAAAACACAACACTTTCCTCCAATAAATCAAAGAGTCATTGTTTACATTTTCTATAGATAGATGACATGGTTAGATGTAATCTAAGGTGTGTTAGATGAATTACTTGGACTACTTCGAAATCACAAAATATAATTTACAGCTACAGCATATAATAATGCAGAAGAAAGCTGTATTCTTACATTTCCCTCAGCAAATTAGCATTGTAAATTATTTATTCAATCAAATATAAATATTCAAAGTATCAAAGGAAACCTGATGAACTGTGCTAGCCTCAACATACATTACAATCCTTAAAGTAAAACCAGTGAATGAAAGACTATGGATAGTATTCAGTTTTAACCTGAAATCCTTATATGTTGCTTTTAGTAACACATCCTTGTCCCCCAGCATCCCCAAAAGCAACATGTCCCCCATTGTTATGTTTTACTACACAGATATCAAACTCTTCAGACACACTGACTCTCAAAGAACAGTGTACCTGCGTTGTCACATTGTGATTTGTAGCGGCTATCAACAGGCAGTATACCAAAAAGGGGATTTCTTTGTAACTACACAGATATAGAATACATGTTGGTATATTTGCACAGGATGAAATGTATAAATATAAATGTTTTCTGCTTGTGCAGGGACAGCCCAGTGAAGGTGATGTTCGACTCAGTCCACCATCAAGCCAAGTTCCCTCTGATGCGGAGAGTCGGAGTCCCTCTCCTGTGTCAGTCTCTGGCAGTGAGACCAGCAGCATCATGCAGAAGCTCCGCAAAATGCACAGCCACATGGATGCCAAGTAACTATTGCTCCTTCTATTTCCTGAGCAGTACATACAGCGTTACTGATTGATTTGTTCTTTCCCCTCTTATGTTGTAGCATATTGATAAACCTTACATCTGATCTGGTGTCTGCAAACCATCTTTAGACATTGTATTCTTCTCTTTACTTAACTGTTTATTCTGTTACCTACGAGGGCATCTCAATGTAAAAAAAAAATTTCAGTTAGCAAACAAACATAGTCCTCAGGCTTTCAAGGCCATAGGGACAAGTTACCAAAATCACAGAGTTGCCATTAAGAAATAATTGCCATATGGTTGATTCAACATTTTTTTTTAGTCCGCTTTTGTCTGCCATATTTATTACTTGTTTTTCTGTGTCTCTGATTTGTTTAGTGTTTATAGTAATTCATGGCTCACTTGTCATTAAATCTAGACTGTCATTTTATTGTTTTCTAGTTAGAGAAAACGATGTCCAAAGGTACCTGCACATCTAGTTTAGTTTTGTATTAGAGTGCCTCCTTATTCTCCAAAATCTTCTCAAACATGGGGCATACAATCCTTATCAAATACCCATCTTCCATATGTACTGCCACTGCGTCCCTTCCGTCTAGGCAGATCTGTGTGCCTTGCCTTTCTGGAGAGAAGGAAGGGATATTTCCAAAGATGATCTCTTCACTGGAATAATTATGCTCGCCCTACGGGGACACTCTTGAATTGACTTTATTTGATTTGCTGTTCCTCAGAAAGTCCCAGGAGTCAGAACTTGACACAGAATACATGATGGGTTTAGAAAGTTTGCTGGGGTGCCAGGAAACACTACAATACAAAACTAAAAGTATGCTGTAGACAACCTTGGATGTCTTTCACAAAATTACATCAGTTTAGTTTTAATGACAGGTAAATTATTTGCTGAGACATCTCTTCCTGCTGATTTATCATGCCATGTGTTTTATTCTACACTGTTCTTTTGTTTTCAAACCTCATCCCTGGTCTTTTCATAATTCTCTTTCTCACCTGAATAAATTAGATCTTTGTGACTTCCTTGCCTCTTTCAATTGCACTCTGCTTGGCATCCTCCAGGATCCCTGCTGTGGTCCTGGCCTTGCAGACCTTTGGCTGTTCCACTCTGTTACTCTGTGTCACTCTCTTGGTAAACTTTCGCTCCTTCTCTTGTAGAGACATCTGCCCTGTTCACTGCTTCTTCTCTGTCTTTACGCCCCAGCACTGGGCCTCTCTCAGTGTGTGCTTTCCCAAACTTCACCCCAAATTCCAGCTCTATATCTGCCGCCAGCTGCTCAGGTAACAGCACCTTTCCCTCTGCTCCCTGCACTGTGTGAGGGGGGTAGGGAGGTGCTATAGTGGTATTGAATCCTGGGAGCATGACAGTGTGCTGTTGGGGGGGCTAGTGAAGGCAGAGCATGCGGATGTTGTGTCTCCTACCTCCTCCTTCCTCTGCTTGCTCTTCCCTCATCCCTCCCTATCCTGGGTGAGTTGTGCCTTCTAGAGTGTCCATGGTTCTAACCGCAGAATCCTTCCTCAGATTCTTGACAAAGCGGGAACAGCAGCTGGTGCAGAGGAGGTTACATGCACAGGAGCTTCTGGAGTGGAAAAGGAGGCTGGATGCTGAAGAGCTGGAAATTAGGCGCATTGAGAAGCAGGCACTGGCTGCTTGGGAGAAACCAAGAGTTAAAACCAAAAGTCAGAGCACTGAGGGAGAAGAGACTGTGCAAGAAGGTAAGACATGCATGTACTGATGGCGTTGGTTGATTAAAATATCTGATTTTCTTTTGAGAGTACTGTATATGTCATCCATGCTTTTTAAAGGAAACCTGTCAGAGGTATATGGGGGCTGCTGTTACTGTACTTTAAACATTAACTTTTGAGAATGCTAGTCCCCTGGCTGTCATGCTGATGCGTTAGCTACAGTGACGACTGAGTTGCAGCCCTGCAACAGCTATAGAGATAAGGAATTCTCACTCTTTTCTGCCACTCATTTACAGCAGTAATTTTCCCGGCCTATAACTCTCAGTAGTATTTGTCCAGGAAAGCTATTTTTTTTTCTCAAATGTAGGTCAGCATTCGAACACTCTATGCTTTTTGTCTTATGATGGAGTCATGTAAGGCAAAAGGTCAGCATGGTGGCTGGACAATTAGAATTTTCAGAAGGGGGTGTCCACAGTATTTGCCTCCATGTTTCTCTCATGACAGGTTTCCTTTAACTTTGGTTGGTAATATTCAGGACTTGAATAATTTTAGGGTGCCTCACCAGTCAGTCACACATTTCACTAGTCAGCATGTAATATACATCACTTCCTGCACATTCGGGGACCGGAGAGGAGATCAGAGGGAGATCGTGTCCCGATGTCCTGTCACTGAGCAGCCGTGGCACAACAGTGACGGCTGCGGGGAGGGTGGGGGGGCAGTAAACCCGCAGCTAATACAAGCTATTGGGCGTCACTAGACGCCCGATCGCTTGAATGTAAAGTTGCCGGACGTTTAATTACAACGGCCAGCCGGGAAGCTAGTCGTCCAGCTTCAGCGTCCTCTCGTCGCAGACGAGAGGATGAGCCGATTTTTCAAGCCCTGGTAATATTAGTATTCAGCTTTTTAATTATTTATTCACACTTGTGTGCTTTGCTGCAATTTATTTTTTTTAATAACCTCTTCCACTCTGTAATCCTAAATACATTATATGTATGTTTGTGCATACCTTTTTATGTTAAGATAATCATTATAGGACCTGCTGGACTCAAAATCCAGACAACAATAGGTCTGAGGGCTTGTTTACACTATCTCCAGACCAGATCTGGATGCTTTTCTCCAAACGTGTCATGCGTATTTTTGATGTGTTCTGGTGTGTTTTTTTTGGTGCAGATAAAAAAACATTCTGATCTGGAGATGGTGTTAACAGGCCCTGAAACTTCACATTTATTAAGTCCACTATTACTGAGATGGAATTTGAACTCTTACCTGTGCAAATACAATATTACAAGTCTGTTTCAAGCTGTTTTCTTTCTGTAACATGTAGAGAAGAGGAGCAGGGAGGCCTCCCCAACTCCAATGAGCCCTGCAATACACACTAGAACCTCTCTAAGTCCCCCACCAGAATATTTATCCTCAGAGAGCATTGAACCATCACCCATTGCTGAACAGATCCACGAGCAGAGTGGGGAACACAGCAGCATCTCTGAAGATCTGGTCTTATCTGCTCTCAGCAAGAAGGTAAATATGTACAACAAAACTTAAAGTACTTATTATTCAGATAAAAATAGATTGTAGAAGTGTTAACGTAATATAGTGAGGGCAGGTTATATAGTGAGGACACAGCAGAGGTCACTGTAAGAGTGATTCCAAAAAGATGAAGTGAGCAGTAGCAGAATAAGACTATAAAGCACACTGGCCCTGAATAAAATGATTTAAACTAAAATGGTAACATGTAGGAAGCCTTGTTCACAGTGTTGGCCACACAGTCCTGAATTAGGCTTTATTCTGCTACTACAAGCTGTGATAATAGGGGACTGGTGAGTCCCCAAAATGCGCTGGACACTTCTGTGATTTTCTTTGGCAAATAATAATTAATAGGTAACTAAATATGAAACTGAATTGGCTTTTTCTAACTTTGCTATTTTGTTTCTGTGACACTGGCATAAGAAAACTACCTGAAATGGAATTGGAAAGTATTGTTTCATATATTGCCATTTCAAAAAATAGCCCTCATTCACTCTGAGCTTAGTGAGGCCATACAAAGCCCGATCTTCAAGAACACCTTATACAAACACCCCTTGGTGTTAAAGAATCAGTCCATGCCTGGCTTCCAGGGAAAAAAAGTTAAAGTAGTCTCCATTTCATTAGACATTGGGTATACCACATATATTACAGAGGTTTACAAATAATTTTATGTATAATAAGAAGGTGGTGAGGTTATGTGGTAGAGTTCACTTATTTACAGTTTTGAATTTATGCTTATAAGAGACATGTTCATTTTATTGATGGATGTAAAAAACTATGAAGATGCGGGTTAGCGCACCGAGTGAGCTTTAAAATGGAAGGCAACCCAAGGCAGTGAAAGGTTGTTTTTTTTTGCTTTCTTGTATAGGTGGAAATGTGAAAGTATGAAATATGATGGGTTATTCTGAACGGCACATCCACCTTTTAAATGCTGTCTAGTGTTTGCATTATGCTACGATAAATAAGACTCTTTGTTGATCATCGTTTAGATCTTGGTAACGGTCGCTGGGTAGAATGACATGAACTTATAGTAAAAGCCAGCTGTATGCCGAGACCCAAATGTTTACTTTGAAGAGTAACGTATGCATTTCAGTCGCCTGAAGCAGACTGGGGCAATTCCAGCTGTCGTGGTATTCCTAAATCCAGTGCGGTTCACATTTTAGTACAGACGCATAAGTTTTACAAGATTAGTCAGCATTGAAAGCATTGTATTACATCACCATATTAATGGTTTCCTGGCAAATGTACGTTTAATATCCACACATTGACTTTATGTTACACATGTGAACATCCTCCTTTTGACCAAGTAGATCTGTTGTAGAACTTTTTAAATTTGAACCAATGGGACCTTTACCTTCATTTGGACTGATGTTCATTACACTGCTGATTTATATTATCCACAACCTCTACAACACTTCAATTGTGAACACAGAATTCATTGTCATGCTGTTAATGTGAACACAGAATTAATTTGCATGTTGATAATATTAATGTGTATGATTGAACAGTCTCCCCCTAGGAGCAACAAGTCCCAAACGGAATTAGAATCCAGCAAGGAGAGTACAAAATCTGGGAGACAAAATGTGCACATTACATTGAGGCCTCACCAGCTTTCTCACACTTGGTCTGAGGAATCCTTGTCTATGACATATTCAGGTAATAGGTTTTTCGGGTTCTTTTTTTTTTTTTTCTTTCCATTCTCATTATGCTCTTTGTTATATACCGGTGACCAATAGTCCGCATTATAAGTACCTTAATAGTTCAAGTGCATTTCAAGTTATACAAAAAATGTCTCTATTGTCCTTTGAGGGACACGGCTCTGAAAAATTCGGATACGTACCGTATTTTTCGCTCCATAAGACGCACTTTTTTCCCCCAAAAGGAGGGGAAAATGTGCCTGCGTCTTATGGAGCGAATACCTATCACCCGACACCCGGGACATGCAGTTTCGGGCGCTGGGTGAGTAGTTTCTTTTTGTACATTCAGCCCTGCTCCTGACAAGCAGAGCTGAATGTACAGTGGGAGCCGCTGTTAGTTTAATACAAGCGATCTAAGTAGATCCCTTGTATTAAATCGAGCGGCATCGGCGATAGTGTCCGCCCCCCCCCGCCGAGGTTTTCTGGGTCCCCCGTTCCTCTGCGGGACTGTGACCCGTCACGATCCCCCATAGGAGCTCACCATAGAGCCCATTGAGCAGACGAAGAACGACGTTCTTCGTCTGCTCTGTGTGATTACTGAGACAGCGCCACCTGTCTCAGCAGTCACTAACTGCAGCTTCTGTGACAGAATTTCTGTCATAGAATTTCTGTCACAGAAGCCATGCGTCCTATCGCCCGGAGCGTCTTATAGACCGCAAAATACGGTAGTTATATTGCTGCTTCTAGGAGAAATGGACACTAGGCAAGCAAATATTAAGGACATAACCCCTCCCACCTTACACCTGCCAGTTTTGCTTGGTGTCCTCAGGAGAATGGATGTAGCCATATCTTCTGCTTTATTATTTTAGGTTTTTTTTTCTTCAAACAGAACAAGGGCTTCTAGTTGATTCATACCGGAGGTTAAATCCTGGGAGTTTTGCTAGCTAGCCAACTAGCTAGCTAGTCATGGATAATAGGACTGCAACTAATGAATATTATCATAATCAATTAGTTGGCCAATTATTTTTTGGATCGGATAAAAAAATTAAATACCATCCTTAATTTAAAATGGAATACACAAATGCAGTGTTACAAACATAAAGTTTACTTCAGAATAAAACTGCATGCACAATTTTGCGGTACCATGCGATCCAGTGCAAGCAATCACACTGTGGGTGGGTGGCGTGTTTGGGGTGCCATTCAAATGAATGGCACTGCAAAGCACCTCCCACAGCAGAATTTGTCCGGCCAAAACCAAAAATCCACTTTTTTGCAATCTTCTATAAAAAAAAAAAAAAAAAAAAATTTTGTTTAATAATTGTGTTGTAAGCACATACATGGTGCTTGAATAGCTTCAGCCAGCAAATGTCAGCTGCCAGTGACAACATGCCACAGACGGCAGCTGAATCTAAATACAGCAGGTAGTGGGCTAGTGCAATAACCGGCCTGCTATTGGCTATTTCAATTTGCAATAGCCAAAAACAGGCTGGCTTTTGCACCCGTCCACTGCTTGCTGTGCCCTCCTCCCAGCATGGAGGAGAGAACTAGGGGATCCAACCAACGAATCTATAATGAGAATAGTTGACAACTATTCTCATAATTGATTATTATTGAATAATCGATTAGGAGGTTGCAGCCATAATGGATGAGTTCAATCCTGAAAGTTTCTCTAATCCTCGGGAAACAGGATGTTTCTGGTCTCAATACTTATAGTTTGCCCTGTGGTGGTCATGAAGCAGGTTGTTTCTGGTTTCAGTACTGTAAGCTTCATCCTGATCCTTATTTTTCCCGCATCTAAGGTAAGTGTTCACTTTTACCTCCCATTCCTATAAACACTGTTTGGCCTCATTCACACACGAATCGGCCGGCACGTACAGCTCCGTGCTGCGTGCGGGGCCGTACCAAGTAGCTGCCGGGAAGGACAGGTGCTGCGTGTGATTTAGAACGCAGCCCCCATCCTTCTCTATGGGGCTACGCGGCCGTACGCCCCCCTACATTCGCCTCATTTGCAGGTCCGTAGGGGTGCGGGTGATCGTATTCATACGCCGCCGGAATGGAACATGTATGCATCCCGGCCAGAAAACCTTTACCCCTACTGACCTGCAAATGAGGTGAGCGTAGGGGGGCGTACGGCCGCGTAGCCCCATAGAGAAGGATGGGGGCTGCGTTCTAATCACACGCAGCACCTGTCCATCCCGGCAGCTACTTGGTACGGCCCCGCACGCAGCACGGAGCTGTACGTGCAGGCCGATTCGTGTGTGAATGGGGCCTTTACTTTCCCAACCTCCTGTTGAACCTTTTTTTTTTTTTTTTTTTTTGAAAGGGGGGGGAAGGGGGGCATTTTGTCTTGGAAAGAGAGGGAAAGGTTAGAACCCGTCAGTTTTTTTTCTTATTGTTTGTTCCATTGGAGAGATTTCCTTTCACGTCATGTCCTCAAGATAAAAATAAGTTAAAGTGGAACATTAGTTAATAAAAAGAAAATTTGCTAGCAGGAAGGCTTTTATTGCAGAAGAGACTCTGTACGTCTCTTCTGCAATAATTCTGCCTTACCTGCAAGTTTCTTTAGATTTTATACTGAACTGCACATGAGCAGCTCAGTGTACACTTTCTGCACACTGAGACATTTTGGCATGCACGCATATGTCAATTCATCTCAAAGACATCAGAACCCGAAGTAAAGATGTTAGTGGTGCAGAGGGAGCTTGTGGACATTGCTGCACTGGAGGTAAGGCAGGTGCATTTAGTTCTGCTTTTAAGGAAATCTCTCTACTGAGGGGAGAAACTTAACCAATGGGGACCTGTTCCCTCACTCCCTGTTTGGTAATGACAAAAATTAGTTTGTTCTTTTTTCAGAAGCCACATCTGACCAAAGTGACATCGAGGGCCGTATCCGAGCGCTAAAGGAAGAGCTAAGGAAACGCAAATCAGTTGTGGAAAACCTGAAGAGAGAACAGAAAAGAAGACAGAAAGAAAGACTGAGAGCTCAGGAAGCCATCTTACTTCAGCAGCTTCAGGCAAGTTTAAAAAAAAAATATCTGTAATATCAGTCTTGCCATGTGTGCTGTAGTATCAATTGGAATTTCCTATTTAATAATGTCCCATGTTTGTCCTTTTGTGAAGTATTGTAGTAATCTCTAAGGTTGCCAAAATCTTTTTCATGATGGGAAATATAGAAATGATCACCATGTACAATCTATTTGATATTTGCTGCCATAGTTGTGTACAGTTCAAATGGAAAAACAGGCTAAAAATGAAACTTTTTTGTTTACAATCCATCGTTGTATATTTGATTTTTGAGCAGCGGTGCAGAGGTTTGACATGTGTCTTTATTTCTTGCAGTCATATGATGAGTACATTCAGAAGACGCAAGATGAACTGAGCAGGGAACAAGCTACAACACCACCCAGTGTTAAGAGTGTGACTAAAGCTGACCAGGATTTATTTTCTGTGAGACCTGATTACCTACAAAGGTATTTTTTGATGCAGCTGTCCTTTATTACATACTAATACATTGACTAACCTGTGCTCCATCTTGGAAGTAATTGATCATTTATTTTTTATTCCTTAGAGCTGACATCACTCCTTCCTTTAAAGCTGAGAGCGAGCACATAACAGACATCAGTACCAGGTCTGAAGGTAAGTAGTAATGTAGGGGCTATTGTTGCTGCAATATCCAGCCACATTTATACTGGGTATGAGGAAGGGGCACTTATTTTATGTTACTTCAAGCACTTCATTTATCTTCCAGCAGAGAGCAGCAAACAAGAGAAATCTTTGGACAGCAGGAATGAAGTTGTAACGGAGAGTATCCCTGATGAACCTGTACTTGTACCGCAGCATTTCACTGGCAAGGAAGATGTATCTGTTGCAAGTTCTCTGTTACTCCCAGCCAGGGAGGCTTTACCAAACTCGGCACATGACAGTCCTGTGTCCAGTATACATTCAGAGATTCCCGAGGATGTGCTCGACACACAAAGCCAAAGGTCCATCTCACCTTTGCCTACCTTGAACCTTAATTTAAGGAGCGAGACTCCAGAGGATGACATCTCCCCACAAAAAGACCACTCTTACTCTGAGGATTTTGAGTCATCTGTACCCTTAAAGCTGTCAGCCTCTGAAACTCCACGTGAGGAATTTGATGTCTCATTGACAACACCAGGAAGGGAGCTACATAGTGATAGCTTTTTTGAGAAAGAAGAGGATAACGTTGAGCTAAAATCGGCTAGTCCTCACATTCTAGACTTCAGCGAGGTCAAGCCTCCTTCACTAGAACACCTTCCCATTAGTAACATAACTGACCCACTTGCAATGTTACAGCTGGGAGACAGAGTTTTAGTTAGTGGCGTACAACCTGGTACACTACGTTTTAAAGGAGAAACCCTCTTTGCAGAAGGCATATGGGCTGGGGTGGAGCTTGACAAATCTGAAGGCAACAATGATGGCTCACTAGGAGGAAGTCGATATTTTGTATGCTCTCCTCTTCATGGAATCTTTGCTCCACCATACAAAATCAGTCAGTTAGTAGAAGAAGAATTTGTGTCCCCATCAGCAGGAAAATACATCTTATCAGAAGATACAGCATTTGTAAATAGGGATTATCTAGATGGCCACCTTCCTTTAATCGAGGACTTTGAACAAAAAACCCCAGAGAAGACCCCTTCGCAAAGTGCAGAATCTAGTGTTTTTGAATTACACACCACATCCATACAAGAGGAGCTGCAAGTGGACATCATCACTGATACTGCACTTCTGGATAAGGAGCCACAGGACTTTCTTTTAGAGCCCACTGAGAAACTTCATGAGGATAACTCCTACAAAAGAGCCCCAGAAGTGGGCACGATTTCAGATAGCCTTTTGCAAGCATGCCTGAAGGACACCGTTGCCTACCTCCAAAATATTCGCAATCAGCGGGCACAGAAAATTCAGCAGAGCAACCAGGAATTCCACACTGTTCGGGTTTCAGAAGAGATCCCAAAACAAGATCAGCACCAAAGACTGGTGAGTAAAATAAGGAATAATGTTAACAATGAATTTGTTTTGTCTTTTTAAAGCATTCTACACATTGTGGCATCCAAAGGGTTAAAACAAGTTTCTATTGCAACCACAAGCTTGTTATAAAATGAAACTGGGATACTCCTGTAGAAGCGGTTTAGCCAGCTATATCTACTCTATCAAAAACTCAACAAAAGGTTTTGGCTAGTGCTGAACTTTAATGTTTTGTGCCTTACTAAAAACGTAAGATGTCTCTATCAGATCTCTCTATCTCGTTTACCAGGGACCTTTCCATGATACTTTTACCGAACAGAAAGTCGAAGAGTTTGACCCAAGCCATAGCATACTGTCAGTGCTCAGAGAAGATGCAGACTGGTTTGAGGAGGATTTTGGACTGAGTAGTCATAAAAAACAACGCTTAGAACGTGCTCCTTCAGCCGGAACCGTGACAGAGCCAAGTATGTTAGTACCTCGATCTGAAGCACCTCTGAAGCCTACTCTGCCCATCTCCCCACCAGAGCTCACCATGGCTGTTCCTCACTCTGCGTTGGAGGCGGAGCAGCTGGTTCAATCAGCAGTGGATGAATTGTGGGGATGGAAACGGCTAAGCCTGGACATTGCAGAGATCCGAAACAATTTCACACGGTGTGAGAATGAAGAGCAGAGTCCAGCCCACCGTGCCTATAAAGAAGTAGGTCACCGTTGTAACTGACCCATTAACTCAAAAAATAAGCAGAACAAGTTTGTTTGAACCCAATGGGGGTAATAATAAAAATTGCCATAAAGCCCGCACCATTCTTAACTGAGAAAACGGAGCAGATCCAGACATAACAAAGAGCAGGAGAGCTAGAGCTGCTTGCTCCACCTTCCTGCCTATATTCAGCTTTCCCTGCCTATATAGAGTGAAGCGGGAAGAGAGACATGAGAGTTATCTGCTAGGTTAGTAGCAGACAGTGAACATCCTGTACACCAGGTCTGATCTGGCCGGGAAGGCGTGGAACCCTGTGCTTGTTTTTATTTCACTATGAAATAAAACTGACATGGGTGGCACAGATAGACCTGAAACGGGTCTATCTTCTTTGTTAATGTGGCGCTTGCCACTTACACCAGCTTTAAATACCCTATGTGATCCTTTGCAGATGTTGTTCGACCTAACATTGGACATATTTGAAGAAATCTGCTCTCCCGACCCCAGAGGATCTCAACCGCCATGGAAAAAACCTGTACGGGTGACCCCGTCATACTCCCGACGGGTGAGGGATCCCAATAACATCCAGGAAGTGAAGGTACTGCATCGTTTATATAACTGGTTCACTTGCAGCACTGTGGCACCCTGGTTCAAATCTCGGCCAGGTCACGATCTGCAAGGAGTTTGCATGTTCTCCCTGTGCTTGGATGGGTTTCTTCCAGGTACTCCGGTTTCCTCCCACACTGCAAAAGACATGCTGCTAGGTTAATTGGCTCCTGACTAAACTGGCCCTTGTATGTATGCATGTGAGATAGGGACTTTAGACTGTGAGTACCTTGAGGGCAGGGACTGATGTGAATGTGCACTATGTAAAGTGCTGCGAAAATTGTCGGCGCTATATAAATACCTGGAAAAAAAGGTCTTGCATGCATTTGCATTGTTGGTGAGATTTTTCTTTTCTTTTGTAGTCTTTCCTGACAAGCGAAGTTCTTAATCTCTTAAGTTTAAAGAAGGAACAAAATCATAAAATGGACTGGCAGAGGATGATGAAGTTTGGAAGGAAGAAGAGAGACAGAGTGGATCATATTCTGGTGAGGAACATTTTTTTTTAATGTGTCAAGGCCCATTTACTCTTTGTGCTGCATTAATACATGTTGCAGCACACGTTAACATGTATTGCATTGCGGCAGCCCATTCATAATGAATGTTCTGGTAACAGTTGAGAAAATGCATATGACCCTTTTTGTTTTAACAATTCTGCGCACCACAAGACTTGGTATATGAATTGTGGTGCACTGCCGTCCGAAAGGCTGTACTGTACAATACGTTAGGGTGCCATTCTCAATGAATAGCATGGCAATGCATCGCAAATAGAGCAGGTGTGTTGCCACAACACACAAGTGTAAATGGGTCCTCCAGTAATTTGTATGAACTGAAGCTGAACTCCAGGCAAAAGACTGAGAAAAAGATTTCCACTGAGAAATGTGTGCTGGATAAGTAAGATTGAAGAAAATAGGTCACCAGCACTCCATAAGTTAAAATGAATGAGTCCTTTTAATGGACAATGATGTCACAGAAATCCAACATGAGCCGACGTTTCGGGGCCACACAGGGTCACATCTCTTGCCTTGAAGAAGGGACCCTGTGTGGCCCCGAAACGTCGGCTCATGTTGGATTTCTGTGACATCATTGTCCATTAAAAGGACTCATTCATTTTAACTTATGGAGTGCTGGTGACCTATTTTCTTCAATCTTGTGTTTTGCACGGTGCCATCCGTGAAGTTACTTCGAGCACCATTTATTTGATTGTTGGCCGGGACTGCTGAAAGGTGTGCGGAGGGCACCTCCATCAATTGCTGGATAAGTAAAACACAATAGCTTGGCTATAGGGCTCCGTTGTTCCAATCTGTATTGATTGATCGCACCCATTGTTTTCATGCAAACAAAAGGCACCTATGTAATTCGGGCCTAAGAGCATGGTTTGGCTTACCTCCAGGTTTTTAATTACATTTACAATTGTTTCACCTTTGATTCTGTCAAGAATGACGGAGCTTTACAGCTATATGTCTAATCATTCATCAATCAATCATCAAACCTATCACATGGGGGGGATGCACACTGGGGCAGATGAATAAAAATGTCACTTCTTGCTTGCCAGCATTTTAATTTCACTGGATTTTTCTGCAATGCATTTCTATATCAACCCTTTCGTGACCAGATGTTCTTTATGCTAAATTTAGCAGTATTATACATCGGGTAATAAAACCTTGCTGTGATTTTTATTACAGGCTGACATTTGCACAAAAGTAGAAAAGGAACAAAAAAATATTTTTAATTATTTGCCTATTGCCGCATTGGGGCTTTTGCACACAGCCGCCAGTGGCTGTACAACATAAATTCTGGAATATTTCCTCTGCCATGGAGCCACAGGTGCTGTGTACAGCCTCCCACAGAAGTCAATATATATGCTCAGCTATACGCCGTAAATGCATGCGGACTCCCTTCCCCGAATGCAGGCTGTCAGTCAGCTTTGACTTCTATGGGCTGCTGTATGCAGCACCTGTTGGGATTCTTGGTGGTGAGAAGATGCCACACACAGCAGTGCGTATGAGCTTTGTTTCTTAAGATTCAATATGTCCCATCGCACTCCTGACCGGAAAATCCCAATTAAACGGGGTGGGTGCAGCAGTGACTGCAGATGCCTCCACAAATCTCATGAAACCAGTAAAAAGTAACTCGCACTCCAAAGCCATGCCAAGTCAATCTCTTTATTGACTAGCCTAGTGTAATGCTCTGAGATGTTACACTACCATAGTCAATAAAGAGATTGATTTGGCATCGCTTTGGAGTGTGAGTGACTTTTTCATTAACTTTGTTTCTTTCTCCTGTTAATGGGGACTGCAGTTTCATACATTTGTCTTTATAGTTTTCTTGTTTGCTGTATCACAAAGTAGAATTGTGTGTCTGTTGTCCTTTTGCACATTTTCATTCGATTGGCTGGTTTTCAATGAACATCATGGGTTTCTCACATGGCTGCTAAAGTGTTATCAGGTCAAGGATTATTGTACTTGTTAGAACATGTATGCAAAGCATTATTAACTATATTTTGATCCAGGGTAGGGAGTAGCCACTCCTTTCACATAATCAGTACCTCCCTAATTTCCTCCTCTGTAATACACTTTCATATAATTCAGAATCCTCTGGAACCTTATTTTTTTAAATCCGTCCACGGGCATTCTTGCTTTTTGATTGGATTATCTCATTTTATTTTTCTTTTACAACACATTTTAGTGGATAAGGTGAACTTTACTGTCAGCCATCATAAAATTTAGGAAAAAGGTAGGGCAGGTAATTATTTATTTTATTAGTTAGTGAGCACATTAGTCACACGAGTCTGTAGTTATTTGGAAATATGTGAGGCACTATAAAAGTAATGCATTAGTGAAGATTTAACTTGTTTTGCTAGGGCAGGTCGGTGAATCACATTAAGTTATTCTATATCCTCTGTAACCTTGCACATTGGCAATACGGTCAATATGTTGCACATAAGTAACAATTGGTTTAATGCTCGAAAATACAGAAACCAACGGCATATCCCTAATGCATGCAGTGCACATAGGCTTCAAGGGGAAGGGGGCCCAATGTGCATTCACTACACACATTGTGAATTTGAATTAGGAATCCATAAGCCGTGCAGCCGTGTCAGTAGAAGCTCCCAACATACAACATCCAGCCACTTCATGATGGGTCAGCAAAGGGCACTGCTCAGCTACCCTTGTTGTCCTGATGGAGTCTCCCAGTTTGATAGTAACACTGAGAATTGTGCACAGGTGCAACCTCTGCCACCCCTTCTCTCTAACTACACTCCTGGGAGTCTTGGGTGAGTGCTTCAAAGTAACCTGCCCACCAGCTTCCTGTAGAGATAGTCTTCTCCATCTGTCTACCCATTCAGCATCCCTCTGATCCTTGGACCTGCTCCTTCTGGCACAAGTGAGGGACCGAAATGGCTGCCTAGTTACCAGCCTGTGATGTTTCTAGGATGAGGTTGGCAAAGCCCTGGGCTCCTTCATCCTAGCAGTGCCTATGGCTGATGGTGGGGAGGCTGGCAGTGGCCATGGGTGACAGGTTGCACACTGGAGGCTCTGACAGGAACATTTAGTGGAAGGAACAGCCTTGCAAGAGTGCCACTGCCTCTGAGTCAGTGAAAGGGCTACGGCTGGCACTGCTATAGGAGCAGTATGGGGAGACTGGCACAGCTTCAGACTAGGAAGGATGTTGAGGCTGGCACTGGTTTAGGCTACAGGAACAGGATGGTGAGATTGTTAGTGCTGCAGGGTTGTAAGGCTGGCAATGCTTCAGGAAGGAAGAGGGGTCCATGAGTCTCTGCAGAGCCAGAACTTTGCATAATACAAGTCCAGCATACTATGTCCTGTTTTAGGCTTCACAAGGAGATTTGAGATTATCCACCAAAGAGGTGGATAATCTCTCTGCTTTATAGCTGATAAAGGCCCTAAGGAAGGTCAAAATCAGTCCATTCATCACACACAATGATTGAAATCTTGGGTATCACTTGGTTTTCACTAGCCACTGCATACATAGTGAGCAGCTACTTGGATAGTTCCAGTATTTTGTAAATGTATGTATAAGCAAAATGTTCTGGATAGAGTATAGAAGGTTTAGGGGCAGAAGTTTACTTATGGTTTCTGTGTCTCTATTATGATTAGAAATCATAGTGTTTTCAAGAGAACAGGAGATAAAGAAAAAAGAATTTCTAATGGGGTGTACAGATGACAACTTCCTCCTGTATTTCTTGGACAGGAAGTGAAGGTGAATTTCTCTGATGGGACACAGACCACAAAAAAAATCAACAACAAAAAAATCTCTATATAAAAATAGATACTCCCTCACCCCAGTCTTTTGTACATGCTGGGGTGAGGGAGTGAGTATCTGATCTCAATCCGCCATTTATCAAACCATCTCAAGAAATTGTATGCTTTGCTAGGTAGATGGAAAAAAATTGGTTTGATGCTTTCAGTAACACCGTTCTTACTTTCAGACCTGGAATACGTAAACCTACATATCTTACTAGCTTCTATATCTTGGGCCAAGTATGAGGATCAGGCATTTGACTTTACTGGTAATTTGCCGGCCTCATGCTCGTTCCTGGTTAGTGACTCTTATTAGTGAAGCCAGAGACAGCCAGGCAGCTAGCATTCTTAAAGGGAGGTCATAACTGGCAGCCTATGCATTATTCATGTTACAGATTTCCTTTATTATTGAACTTGACTTGCTTAGGATGTCTGGTACCTGCAATTCTGTGTGTAAATTTACACGAACTATTATATTTTTAACTTCTCTCATTTCTACCAAAAGGTGCAGGAATTGCACGAGGAGGAGGCGCAATGGGTGAACTACGACGAGGATGAACTCTTTGTAAAGATGCAGCTGGCTGACGGAATATTTGAAGCCTTAATACGTGACACTATACAAGTCCTGCAGCGCATCCAGAGCAAGAAGAACCACTCGCCCACAGTGTGATTTGTACATGTCATGTCTTGCTACTCACAAAATTACTGATGAAAGAGCTCTCCATGCATGGGTAGGAGACACGGGACTGTGCTGTTCCTGCTACAAGGATGAGCCAGACCCTCTGAGGACAGTGTTCTCTGATTAGAGAATGATGTTATAAGGAGTAATACTGATTCTCCTCTTTAAACTTTGAATTTTAGACTTTTCCTTCATTTCGATGCAAGGAAACACGATTTACTAGTAGCCTGGACTTGTTTTTAAATTATTTTATAAATCCTCTATTATCCAAAATAGAAGGGATGCTCCCCAGTCTCTTGCAATGCCACTTTACACGGTTGAGAGGCCAGGTACAGTGCAGGTAGATAGTGCGAGCATCTGTTTTGAAGGTTGAGCAGCAGCTCTGGTGTTGAAGGTACCCATTCCTGCTGATTCATGTGTGATCCTGATAACCAGTAAAGCTTGAGTGTTTGCGAGGCATGGGTGTGTACAGCTGCCTCATCAAGTGTCCTTAACTTCTTGCAATACTTGAAATGCTGGGTGTACAGTGGCGTTTTATGGGCAATCAGCAGTCTCTCGCTTTAAAGGTTTGGCATGAGAACTTGAGATTTTGTTTTTTTAACTGTATATACCTTAAATTATCATTAGAAGGGCGTGTTCACAAATGATCACATTGGAAAATTGCTTTAGTATTAATTATGCACATTCATTACAGCAGACAAAGCCCGGTTTCTTTCTGTGCTGTCAATTTACATTATACATAGCAGAGATTCTCTACATGAGGCGTCTACTCGCTGCGTTCAAGTGTGTATCACATTTAGCGCTTAACACCGTTCTGCAAATACGGTATAGTGCATTTCAAGCAGAGGATTCAGGTCTTCAGACCCAGCTATTCACAGGCTTTGTCCAGCTGCCTTTATGCTGTCACTGTGTTTAAACCAAACTACCTGGTGAAGCTTTTCTGGCCTTATTTCAGCAAATGCTGCTGTGAGTGTTTTTTTTCCTGAACGGACCAGCAGATGGCACAGCGGCCACACAAAGCAAAATCACTCTGATCTGACGAGCTGCTGCTAGTGGCCTCCTGGAGGACATTTCATAAAATATTGGACTCTAGCAATGTCATTCAGGTCAGGGGAAGTACTCCACAGGGGACACCAAGTGAGTCATCAGTTGTGCTGCATGAAATGCGCTGGAGAACAGCCATGGAACTTGGCTAACTTGTTTGACAGTATTATGTCCTCTCTCGTAAAGGAAAAACAACTGAAAAACCTAAAGGTATAATTGACTAAAATGATTACACTAACTTTCTAATGCAATTTGTAGCATGTTAAATGTTCCAGTAGCCAACTCTTATGTGCATCCTTCATCTGTACACAATGGACACAGGCATTCATTAATCTCAACCCATATTTATTGTGTCTCTTTACCAGAACCTAGGAATATCAGTGTAGCAGGCTGTGACTTGAACCATCCTGATCTTGCTAGTTCCCATGAAATGTATTGTCTGCAGTCTTTGAAATGAGTCCAGTCCTCACAACTGCATCTGCTATGCTTCGGAGACATTCATTTTCAGTTAAAGGGACAGTCAGCTTCAATTATAAGTTACTCAAAGGTAAACCTTTGGCCATTTTTAAATATTCAAAACTAAATGTCCTACCTAGGAGCAAGTACCACAAGATGGCTGTTGTTGCCATTGTTGGGCAGAAAAGCCAGTGGCCCTCTCTGATTTAGTTCCACTTTGTTACTGGAGGCATAACTTCACTGACATATGGATTAAGCCTCACCCAACTGTCTTCTATGTGTCCAGTAAAAGTGTGATAGTACCCTTTAAGGGGCCCTTCACACCTTTAGGGTGCGTTACCGCACACATGTTAACATATGCTGCATTAAGGCAGCCCTTTTATTTTAAATGGGCTACCAATGCACCCCCAGCACACCAAAACCTGGACCTAACTAATGAACGCATACTGTGATACCATATGTGCATTACCGAAACACAGAGATGAGAAGCTAGCCAAAGGGCTTTCTCTCTGGACAGGGGAATTGCAGTTGTTGGGGCCTACCCTGAAGTTGGAGATTTCAGGACCCAGAACAATTCAGAGAGGGGCACAGGAGAGGCTTTTCTGACTATAAAGGGAATAGCAGGAATTTGCTTTTAGACTGGACTTTAAAAAGTTAAAATGACTGACAAGTTTTCTAAACTCGGGCGCTAGATCTCAAAAATGCATTCAAGTACCTTAACTATTAACAAAAATGTATCTTATTTGTGTATGACTCAGCTGTAGATCCTCAAATCATCTCTGAATTGGTGCCGACACTGTCCTTCCTTCTGGAGGGGGGCTACATTTGTCCCCCATGGTCCTTGTGTGTGTTGTAAAGTAGCCATCATTCCAAGCTCCCTCCTGTGATGGACTACAATCTCAATACTAATTAGTAAACTAAACGCGAGATTGTAGTCCATCACAGCAGGGAGCTTGGAGTGGTGGCTACCATGGGGGACCAAAGTAGCCACCCTCCAGAAGGAAGGACAGTGTCAGCACCAATTCATAGATGATTTGAGGATTTACAGCGGTTACACAAATAAGATACATTTTTCTTAATAGTTAAGGTACTTGAAGGCATTTTTTAAATGTTACTCCTGCATTTAGTGTCACTTTAATTAGTAGAATTTTTTTTAACCTATGTATAAATATGTTAAGTTACATGATTACAAATATTACTGAATGTGATATTTGGCATTGTATTTATACTACCTTATAATCTGCAGCTTATTAACGGATAACATCCATAGTGAGCTAAACATTGGGGATATTGATGAAGCAGTAAATTAGACATTCACTGCAGGTGACTCTTCCAGGTACCTGTTTGAATTGACAGTGATTCATCACCAATGAATGTTTGCCATATTCACTGCTTCAATGAGTGTCCCAGTGTGTCCTTCAAAGGATTTCCTGGACAGCATTTGACCTGTGTAGGAGATAATGAGCAGATTTAATAAATTACTCTTTTATATAAACCAATTTGCGTGACACTTTAAAGTGGACCTTCCTATTACATCAGCCTCCCCCCTTCCCATTAAATTGGCCAAAAAAAGAGGGGAAAACAGTTAGAAAATATCATTAGCTTACCTACCCGCTTCCAGTTGTGGTGCCTTGGTGATGGTGAAACCAAATCTTGCAGGAAGATGCTCCTGCACTGTGCTAGAGCATCTTCTTGTGAATTTAGGATACTGCGCGTTTCTAGGATGTCACTGGAAGGATCATGATTTCACACTCTGCTGTGCAGTAAATGCAGGGATTTAATATGGGGGTGGGCCCTGATGTATTAAGCGTATGTTGCATTGTAGTGTAAAATCTGCTTTAACCATGCTGTCAATATAAGATGTTATTTATCAAATCAAATCCGATTAGAGCAGTATTTGTTATCCATAGCAGCCAGTCACGTTCACCATTTCTTGTTCCCATGCCGCACTGAGAGAATGAAGGTCAAATTCTGACTATTGCTGATCGATCATCTTATCATTGGTGGGCTTTATGTGGACCTTCAAGTGACCTAGCGCTACAGATCTACAGGTCTTGACATGGGTGTTCATATATGCAGTGCTTGTAATACTTACCGTTGAACATCTACAGATTGGCTAAAGCCCAACCAAAGTATCCTTTGTAGCAGCGGAATGGTTAAGTACTTCCCTCAGCCTCCATTTCTTTCCCAACAGTGCGGTTTCCAGCTCAGGGGCCACTATCTGTCAACCCGCAATGCTGCATTGTAAATTCCCTCGCTTTGTATAGCCTTGTGAATAACCTGCAGGAAAATATGTACATTAAGTAAAGCTGTAAATAAATACTGATTTATACATGTCATGTTGGCTGTGTCTCTGGGTGGTGCTCAGCGTTGTGTCCTTTGGAAGTCATTGCTAATCATTCTGGATTTGTGTGTGTATGTCTTATAAAGGTATAATGTAATATATAAGCCATCTACACCCAGCTCACATTATATTGCAAGTACAAAGATTACGTTTTATAAATACAGTGATACAAAAGTATTATTGGCTGGTATAAAATGCTTTTGCTTAGATACCAACTAGGTGAGTGTGTGAAAACAAATACAGGCCCATTTACACCTATACATTGCGGTGCCATTCATTTTCAATGAACTAAGCCTGCCTTCGAATGCACAACAATGTGTGGCAACGCATTACCATATTACAAAAAAAAGTGCAGGTCTAGTTTTCAGTTCATTGTGGTTTGTTAGCAGCAATTTTAACAGGCTGCCGTAATACAATGCACACTAAAGCACATGACGCACCACAACAGACCGCCGATATATGAATTGGCCCTAACATCAACCTGTAGAGCAGTGTTCCCTTTGCCATCGCAGTCTGCTTATCCGCAATAGGTGTCGCTGCACTTCACTGGTCATATGGTTTTGGTTGTTTTTTTAATGAGAACATAGTCTCTGAAAAGGCTGTTTTACGTATAAATCCCCAACCTTGTTTGTGTACACTCAAGTGCTTCCACCAATTATAAAAGTTTTTATGGTGATTACACTGTAATATGTACTCCGTAGCACATACACCCAAACAGTGAACCGTGTGGCTGCAACTCTACATAAAATCATTCAGACGTGGTCTAGAGAGGTTATTTTGCTCCGCCAAATATTATGGGGGGAAATTGTACAATCTGATTGATTTGCCCCAGACGTGGTGGTTCCTGCATCTAAGAAACTGCTGTCTTCCTGGGATTTGAACACGGTGCCTAGCTTTTGCAAAGAGCAGGGCAAAAAATGCACCTTGTTAATATGACCGCTCAGAGGAATGGCTGAACTCTTAAACTGAATTTGTGGCCAGGCTATGAACATACAAATATATATATTTTTTTTTTTCTACCAAGCACGTAAATGGGCTTCAAATACTAGAGAAATTCATCCTCAAAGATCACAACATAGGTGTGGAAAATGCAACTCAACTCCCCATGCTGCCTCTGGCAGCACAGACTTGGCAGCTTGCCAGGCTTCTATTGTAAGTAAACTGGCTGCTGTAAGCTGTTCAGAAAAGGACTGCAATCAGACTTCAAGTGACACTAAACTCAGAAGTTGAATCTTAAAAATGCATTCAAGTACCTTAACTATTAACATAAATGTATCTTATTTGTGTATCACTCAGTTGGGACTGACACTGTCCTTCCTTCTGGAGGGTGGCTACTCTTGTTACCCA